CGTAGTAATTTGTCTGTCTCTCATGAGTCTTTATATAAAATTTGGATTCATGCAGCTTTAAAGTTTCAAAATAAAAGCACCAATTAAAAAATAATGGCTTCTGTCAGTGTTATAGTATTGGCTTACTGACACATTGACATGAAAACTGTTTTAATGTTGTAGTTGGTTTAAGATGGGGCTCATTTTATCAATTTTATGTTAAGTTGGGTTGTTTAATCTATAATTAAACAGCACATTTTCTAAGATCATTATGGGTCTATTGAAAGTCTAAAATAGATCTACAACCCATTATTTATTTTCTAATATAGAGTAGCAGAAAATGGAGGTATGACTGTACAGAAATAAATGTACATACTGGAAGAGCCTCTGCAGACACAAAAGAATCATTTTATTTTTTATCCAAAATGTTAAAAATAGTTCACATTTCAGTCATAAGAGCAGTTAGCACATATTTAAGAGTTAATTCTATACTTTAGGTAGAGACAGTTCTGAGATACTGAGCACCAGACCAGCTTGCAAAACTGCAGCCTACTCCAATGTTTAACCCTAAACACTGAATGACATATTCTTCAATAATACATGCAATTCAATACACCAGCCGTGGGGCAACTTTTATTTGTGCTTTGTTGAGCAGTTTCAGTTTCTCCTCATCTGGCGAGGAGGGAGCAGTATTTTGATGCTGCAACAAACAATCTCTATACAAACTCCCCAACCAACCCACCCCACCCTAGAGAAGCTGGCTCTCCCTGTGTCTTTGTAGTTATATATAGAGTTTCTCCTACAAGGCTGTCAGATTGCATTTGTCTGCATGGTGCTCTCCTTGTTCACACTTCACACCCTCCAGACTCCAGCTTTCCAAACACACAGGCCATGCGAGATGCTTGTCCTGCTGAGGTCAGCTGCTGTTTGTGTGTGTGTGTGTGTGTGTGTGCTGCACAGTGCACTGGCTGTGGGGGGGAAATGTCAAGCTGCAGGGATGTCTGGCATTTGAGCCTTTCTGAGCGAGCTGTCTCTGCTTGACAGTCTTAAAGCATGTTTGTCGACCAATTGGGGAGAAATTGTTGACATTATTTGTAATCATTTTCACTTGTTGGGATGCTTTTTCCTTTCTTGTGAATTCCTCTGGGACGTCAGAGGTCAAGCTAAGCCAGAGAGCAGTGCCCTTGAAACTTTTAGGGGCTCAAGGACACTTCAGCAGCCCCCCCCCCCACCTCTCTGTACTCATTCCTCCACCCTGCTGCCTGCACTCATTTCCTCTAGCACTCTAGCCCTCTTTAGCTCAGTGAGACGTTTGCCAGCTCTTTTCCACGCCTCAGCTCTTCTCCCAGCTGAGCAGTGTGGCAGCAGGCCACCAATTTGTAGATAAGAGCTCATTTCTCAATAGCACCAGCAGATCAATAAGCCAAGCTCGAAATGCACTTAGGAATGACTGATGGTGGAGGCTATTAGGTGGTCTGTGCCATTACCTGTTGTGAGAATATATACCCTCTGTAATTGACATTCTGTAGTTATTTAATCAGAGAAAACATGAAGGGCGTCTCACTGAAATGAAATATCTAGTGTCTGAACGTCTTTGTCCTGTAACAACCTTAGTGTACTAACGTAAGACAACTGTGGCCACACTAGAAGCAAGCAGTGAACACAACACTGCCATATTACTACCTTTTACGCTGATATGGGAAATTTGTTGGCCAAAGATTAAGATATTGATTATAGACACTTACAGACAATAATGCCCTTAAATGCTTAGTTGAGGCAAGCGGTTTTAGACTGGCCCTTTAAATCCAAAGTAAGGGGCCCAAACCATGGAAAGGTCAGTCCAAAACGGCACAAAGTTGGTACAATGTTCACATATGTTTGACCACATAGTGTATTTTCTTGTTTACATTTAGTGGTATCTATCCACAGAGATAGTTTTGATTTGATTTGTCCAGATTTTGAGATATCTGTCTCTGTGATTTCTGCCGCCACTTCCATATAGTGGCATATACTTCCAGAAGCCATATTCTACTCACTCTATTCATTCATTGGAACTATAATTTCTACTCCATATCTCAAAACCTCTTCCCACAAAACCAACTCTATCTGCATTGGTTTATTTATTATTTATTTATCTTCCGTCTGTATTTTTTTGTGATTTGAATGACATTTACACCTATAAATTTACATTACTTCCTCGAAAACATGCAGTATATGATATTTAGTGATAATCTCCATGTTAATTGATTTAAATGAGGGGACACAAAGGAACTGAAGCTGAATATTAAGGAGAAAACAGTTGTTTCTGAGGTAAGAGGCCAATGCTCATGTGAGAGCAGCACATTAGCTTTATTCAATTATTCAATAACCTATACCATCGCTCTCTCCAGGCTGGTTTCCTTGTATTGATGGCTCCGATGGAAGAGCACTGGGATCGTCAGCCACACGCTGGGGAAGAAAGCTTTTGATCCGCTAAGACATGCTTAGTGCATGATGGAAATGATGCAGGGTTAGAGAGCTAACGATTTTAAACAAGAATTGGAAGCCATTAACTATACAGCTCGCATGCCATGCTAACACATATATAATGTATCCAGGAATAAATAGAGCATCACAGCGTTCAAAGGAGGCAGTTGTGTCTTTTCGTGATGACAGTTTTCTAATGGGACCGCCTACTGATATTAGACACCCGGGGAGTGATGGACGCCTCCTGGGAAGCTGGAGCTGAATGTAGCGAGTGTTTATCCCTCTCCTCTTGCTCCATTGTGCATTGTTCAAAATCTGTATTGTCTCAGCATCTAACAAATACAGTATGTAGGCCAACAATGCACACACACACACATACACACACACACATGCCGTCACTGAGTTTAGTCTCTCTTTCCCTCCCGCTTTCTCCCTTAGGTACCAGGAAGTTCCTGTAGTCTCATTCCGTAACAAAACACACCCAGCGGGGGAGGAGGCAGCGGATTTCAGCTGTACACTCCTCTGATGTTACTTTCTCTCTCATTTCCAGGTATCAGCAGGTGCCGGTGGTGCTGGTGGGTAACAAGGTGGACCTGGAGGAGGAGAGGGAAGTGTCCCCCAGCGAGGGCCAGGCGCTGGCCGAGGACTGGGGCTGTCCCTTCATGGAGACGTCGGCCAAGAGCAAGACCATGGTGGACGAGCTTTTCGCCGAGATCGTGAGGCAGATGGACTTCTGCCCTCTGCCAGACAGGAGAGAGACCTGCTGCCCCGCCTGCAGCGTACAGTAGCAGTCGATCGGTCTGCCAGAGGGGTGATGGATAGGAGGATGATTAGAAATTAGAATGCAAATGAATTCATGTTAGATAGCTTGAAGATGGAGGGGTTTATAGGAAAAATCCACTCTTTCTAAAACTGTTTCTACCTGCTTTCTGTATCTAGCAGTTTAGGCCTGTGCTGTGGTCAAAAGGCATCCATGGGAAATGTAGGAAATCACTAAGTGAAGCGGACAAAGCAGACTTTAGGGGGAAATTTAATTTTCAACATACGTCACTCCTCGGACACAGGGTGGAACAACACTTGACCTCCCACACTCACCACCGTCCTCCTGATTAACAGAGGCAAATGTTCGGGGTTTCCCAAAGGCAGCGCGGTGCCAAAAACCATCATAAAAGCCATCGACAATGAGGATCATAGTGCTAAATTGTTTTGGGAAACCAGCCATAGGCCCAAGCAGGGATGGCAGTGTGCTCGGCAGGTTTATCAGCCCTGTTTTCTTCTGCTTGTGTTTTTCTTTTTGCACTTTTGGGGGACTTTTTTTTTGGCAGCGAAAGACCAGTCACCAAGTATCTGAACGGATGTCAAGTAACACCACTGTGAAGGAGTCATACTGGGAGTTAATTTCACAGCAGGCCCGCCTAACTATGAATGAATGAAAAGATGAACGAATGTCTAAAAAGGAAATCGCACCTTTGGGGAAATTCATTCAGAAGATCCCAAATGTTGACATACTGTGGATGATGTGTGCATGAAGTTGTGCTGTCACACTGACACTGAGTACAATCAACCTCACCCAAAGAGACAGTATCAATCAGTCAATCAATCAGTCATTGACACGTACGGACACTTGTCTTTACACCTTACAGATGATACAAATGCCTTGTTACATTGTATGACGTGAACATCAGTGTCAGTGTATAGTTCGTTTATCTTAAGTCACATCAGATATGTTAGCGGTTCAATGTCAGAAACACTTATTTTCAACAAAAAATAAATCTTTATGCACAGACGTGTCATGCGTGTTTATTATGAATCATGTTGTGAAGCATTTAATGGTGAAGAAACTATATTTTTCTTACTCTGAAATCATCTCTCTCCTTTCATTTTACCCTCCAGAGGTCACACAATTTGCACCCATTGTGAAAATAGCCTTTACGCTTTACTATTTACCAGTAATCTGGCTCCATCTCGGCCTCGCGTCGAGATGATTTATGATGTTTTGGTCTTGCGGCTGCCTTCCCTGGCCCTGCGTCCTGCTGCTCCTGCTGCTGCCATTAGTGCCAACACTTACTGCTGATTCTGGTCCTGAAAAATCCAACAAGCATTTGTCAAATTCTGAGTGCCATTAGAGCCCATTAGAGGATGAAATTGGGGACATGTGAGACTTTAGAGCCAAGATCATAAACTTTGGATTCCATCCAATCTGCATAAGAGCAACAGTCTTTCGACACTTAGGAGACAGAGACTGAGGTAATTCATAATAAATTGTAGAGAGACGCCATAAATATCAAAACTTTATCACAAGTGCCTGTAGGAATATCAAAGAAGTATTATACAGTGATATATTATGTTGTTAGGGACTGTCTTGAAGAAAGAGGTGCTGATATAGAAGATGATTTCTCTCTCTGTCCACACAATACAATAATTGTTGCAGGGCTGCTTTTACATAAGCCTCATTGAAATGAGTGACAACAGCGACACCTGCTGTCATAAACTAGAACAGCACATCGTCCTGTAGGTCACACGGACCTTTTGAGACTTCAGTTCCTACCCGGACCCAAATGTTAGTTACACAGCAAGCAGGCATGGCGTCCTTCAGTCAGAGACACAAGTAACAGACAGTTATATATTTGCCCTTTTTTGTATCCATTACGGTTGTTTTTTTTGTATGTAGCTGTAGATATTCCTTCACAATGGCGACCAGGACCGTGTGTCGAGTTCTCCCGCGCCGTGAGTAACTGTTAGCAACCGTTACCCGGGTAACATTAGCATGTGAGCTACGCTGGCTAGGTTGAAATGACAGGTTGTCGCAGTAAGCTAATATTTACTATATAACGTTATATAACGTTAACAGGACAGCATTAATTCAATTCACCTGTGCCTGTAGCTCCATTGTGCAGCTTTGACTTAATACAGGTGGTCTAGAAGTTCTTTCTAAAAATTGTAACATGTCTTATGTTTTATAAACTTGGGTTTTTAGTCTCAAACACAGTTAGCAAACCCCTTTTAATACAATACGGTAATCATAGTAAGCAAACTGCATCCTAACCCCGGACTCGTTGTCCACTGTTATACACACACACACACACATAAAAAGCTTCACATTATTGTTTAAGTCTGCTTAATTTAAAAAAACAAACCTAGATAAACTTCTACTGACTACCTGTATAATTGTAGAAACCACGCTATGAAAACCTTAAAACCTTTTATAATAGTCAGTATTGATAAAGTGTGGTATTATATGCTTACATGAATTATAAATTCCAAGTAAATACACAATAACCTGACTTTTATCAAATGAGTCAAGCTGCCAAAACACTGGAGCCTACACTTCCCATAATGCAACTCAATAGCATGTTTAATGCTTGGTAAGCAGACTTCCTGTTATAATAACCCTAATGACATCACTATGACATCATCAGGGTTCATTTCTAAGACTTTGAAAACTCCTCATGAGCCACAGAGGATATTATATTATTATTATATTATACAACTGTTTTTATACACAAAGTGGTGTCAACATGAAGCAGTATGCTATATATTTTTGAATATCCAAGTTTAGCTATCAGAGAATCCTCTGCTCTCTTTCTTCTCTGCTTGAATCCATCCATCCGTCCTCTCCCTCCACAGGCTTTGCCTCTGCCGCAGCGGTTGTGCGTCCCCTGACCGCCGAGGTGCGCAGCCAGCGCAACGCCGTCTTCTCCAGAGAGCAGGCCAGGCAGCGAGCTCTGTACCCTCGCATCGAGAAGATAGAGGTGTCCATGCAGGGCCCGGGGCTGGATGGCACTCTGCTCATCATGAACAGAGGAATGTCCACTCCGCTGAGCTGTGCCAGACGTGAGTGAAAGGGATTGTGGGTGTATATTTAAGAAAAAATGTGTTGAAAAAACAACTTGGTTTCTTTGATTTAATTTCCCCCAGATTTAATCCTTCATGTTGCCATTTTTAAATTCAGGTCAACGTCTCCTGTAAAACACAATCTGTGTAGAAACTAAACCCCTCAGCTTCATTTGCATGTATTAATAATGCATTGCAGCATGTTTCACTATAAATAAATACTTGTTTTGCACTCAGATGAAGTCCTCTGTGTTTCCCTCAGACCTGACAGAGCATCACGTGACCAACTCGGCGCTGGCCCTGGTGGACGGGGAACCGTGGCCTCTACACCAGCCCCTCACCCGCTCCTGCTCTCTCACTCTGCTCACATTTAAAAGCAGTGACCCAACGCTGGTCAACCAGGTACTTTTACAACAAAAATATATTTTACTTGTTTGGGATTTGGGCTTGATTTGGACGTTAAGCGTCTCCTGCTCATGAGGGAAGTTATGGTATTTCATGCACTTTCACAGGAAGTGAGAGAGAATGAGAATTATGTATTTCACTATTTCTTCCAGCTTTATTGAGACCTTTTACACAGTCTGACCTTTTAAAGGATAGGGTCAAATTTCTTTAAGCATCTTAATACAATACTCACATGTCCCTTTTGTCATTTGTTGCTGTAATTGTTCCTCCGGTAAACAAAGACATCCCTTCCTAATGCGCTTCTAATCTAAGTCGTGGTGGACAAAATTGACAGTAAAATGTACTCTTAATTTCAGGCTGAGCTAATATAAGGCGTTGGCAGTCTGAGTTAGCCAAATCCAGTAGGTATCTTCTAAAAGTGTGCTGGCTCACTCGTGCTAGAGGAATAGTAACATAGAGCGGGGACTTACCAAAATACCTTCTTGATTTAGTTAACTCAGGCTTTAGGGTGTCATATTTTTGCCCAGAATGAGGACTTTGCAGCCTGTACAGACAGGGAGGACAGTTACTGTCAGTGTACATATGGGCTATGTGGGTATTGTAGTCAGATAGAGTTGGAAAAATGGGAATCTATCCTTTTAATCAACTAACTAGGAAGTACTTGCATTTTTTGGGGGTAATAAAGTGCTTTTACTTAGTCATGGAAAGTAATGGAGGTTTACAACGAGAAGTGTGTGTATCCTGTGGAAATGTGAAACAGAAACACTGAAGTAGGTCAGTTTGCTATATAGCAATATATCTATATCCAAATGTATGTGACTCCAATTGAAGGTGTTAGATCCACCATCTGCACTTTAAATTCCCGTGTTGTGAGTCACCTAGAACAGGAACTGTGAAATCAGGCATCGTTATATTGGCTTCTTCTTTATCCCCATCCTGAGTTGCGCAAAATATTCGGAACATCTTTCCTTTAAGACCTTTTGTGCTCAATCCATACCTCAACAGTCTCAAAGCCTCCAAAATCCTTTCCTGTCAGCCGTTCTATCTGCATGTGTCTCTGCTCAGTGTACATGAGGCAGGATCAGTTAGTGATAGCATGAAGAGAGTGTGACACATTCAGCGTGTCCTCTTGTCCCCTCTCAGGCCTACTGGCGTTCCTGCGCTACCTTGCTCGGCCAGGTGCTGGAGACTGCGTTCAAGGACAACTTTACTGTGGACCTACTCAGCGTACCAGAGGTGCCAGGTAGAGGAGCTTCTTTCTATGTCTCCAGATTTAGCCTGAACAACCCGCAGATACCGGTAGGATTTATCTGTGCTAGACAATCACTGCACTACGCTGCCAGGAAGGTTTGAGACAGGACTGAAGGGCTCAGTTAGATGGAGTCTCTGGCCTGTTGTCAGATGTAAAATAGGTAGTTGGTGTTATATTTCTGTAAAAAAAAAGTGTGTATATATATTATTTAGGCTCATTAAAATAGAATTGTTTGCAGGTATTTGTTTTAGTTGATCATTATTCATTAATTATTAATAATGTTTCCCTGCAGTCACTTCTGGAGCCTTCTGCTGTGATGTTGTGCTCGACCCTCAGCTGGACTCATGGACTCCCTCTGAGGTTAGAAAGCACAGTTAACCTTCTGTAGTCATTACCTCCTTGTCTGCATATACTCTCTAACAAACATTTGCCAGCACTGACAACAATAAAATATAAATAGATATATATGTTTTATAAATGTTTTTCTCTCATCTTTCTTTAAAAAGTCTCTGGAAATTGTCACCAGTTTCTTTATCTACATTATATTACTGCAGCTAGATGAGATGTTTTACCATTAGAGGTCAGCAAAACCTGACAATTCTCAGTGTTTCTGTGTAAAGTGACATTCCACCTGAAATTCATATTTTGAGGATCAAATACTCGCCTGTTGTAGACTTCAGAGGTGGTTTTGTCCTTCAGAAACGACAGACGCTGTGCTCAGCTAAACTTCTCCACCCACTCAGTCATCATCTGACCTGAATAGAGTTAATATTTCTAGGTTGTGCTAACTTCCTGCTTTAAACTCCTAATACTGAGAGACAGACAGACAGACAGACAGACAGACAGAGTAGCATACATTTTTTATCATCACCTTTAAAGTGAAGCCTCTGTTTGTCAGCAGCAGTTGGGGAGGAATGATTCAGAGCTCTGATTTGTTGGTTCGTGCTTTGGATTACAGAACTCCTGTGTCTGACCGTACCTCATCCTTTTGTGAGTGCTGTTTGTAAACCAACATGGCTGCGTTTCTTTTTCCCCAGGAGACGTTGCGGTCTCTGACCCGAGCGGCCCTGCAGCTAATCCACAAGGACCTGGCCTGGGAGCCTCTGGAAGTGACGCCCTCTGTGGCACTGGAGGTCTTCTCACACAGCAGGTAGACTGACTCCTGCACAGTTATATCTAACACTGATGATCTTTCAGATCTCTTTTCAGAGGTCAGGTCTTTCTCTGTCACTCCTCTTTCTTCTTTGTTTCTCTTCCCTACATTGTCCCTCCACAGCAGTGTTAGGCTAGTTACTCAAAACATTTAAATTATTACTCATTACTCTTTTCAAAAGTAATATTATTACTTTATTTATTACTGTACAACAACTTTGCTGCTACTCCCTGCTTGATATGTTATTTCAGTAATTAGCCAAATTCACACTTAGGACGATTACAATCCAGTTTTGTTTGTTAAAATCAAAGTAATGGAATATTTCCATCTGCTCAATGTGAGCTTTTCCATCTTCCAAACTAGATTCCTCCACCATTACAAAAATGATCTGATTGGATTGTTGGATTTAAAATTATTAGGGGGGTGCCAACAAAAGTAATATTGTAACTACTTAGGGGGGGTAACTAACATTATTACTGATTTTTATTAGTAATTAGTTACTTGTTAATGGGGAAAGTAATATTATTACTAGTGATGAGTTACACGGCTCCCCACTAGACTCAGAAACACATGAGGGCTGTTGTTTTTAAGCTTCTTCTCTCTCTCTCCCAGGTGTAAACAGGAAGAGGTAGAAGAGAAGGCCGCACAAAACCCCAAAGGCACAGTGACGCTCTACAGGTGACATTTCACGCACACATTGTGGTTTAAACATTTACTTCTGCCTTCATGTTTCTAGTGTTGTGTCCATTTCATGTCACATTATGTCTTTCTAAAGAAGAGTATATAGTTTGTACTATATCTAATCCCCCACTATCCTTTACCTTATTTCTTTTTGTAGATGTGGTGACCATGTTCTGCTGAGTGCGGGCCCCCTGGTGGCCAGGACAGGCCTGTGCTCCCAGTATGAGGTGATGGCCATCCACAACCTGGGACAGGGACCCTGGGGCCTCCACCGTCGAGTACAGGGCCTCTCCCTTCCTCTGCAGCTGAAGGTAGGGACAATGTGTGTGTAGCTGAGGACTCTGTGTGTTTGGTTGATTGTTTCTTTTGTGTGTATTTGTGATCACACTAGGATGAAGACATTATTGTGAGACAGTTTTGTTAGTTGGATTTTAAAATCTGGATTTAAAACTATACTTATTATATATATATATATATAATATATTGTGACAGGTACCTGATTTTGACCTATGATTGTCTAAGCGTTATGGGAAATTTCTGTGTCATAAAAAAGTCAAATGTAATGGTAAATATCTGTTTAAAATGTCATATATTGGCACCCTCACTTTAGAAAATAACAGGTTTTAGTGTCACAATTTAATTTAGTAAAAAGGTGATTTGCCATGGAACAGATCATATATGCCATTTAATTGTTCTAATATCACAGTAAAAGTACTTTGTCGGTGTCTACATGTGCCTGCTAGTCACGTTGTCTTCCTCTCTGCAGGGCCACCACACAGTCTGGAGGAAACTGAGGCAGCGGGCGGAGAAACTGGTAAGAACAACAAAAATCTCGGTTTTCTACCTCACAAACTCGTCCAAAAGCAGCGACATCAAAGCTGAGGGCCGAGGCCAACTCCGGGGAGGAGGGCTGTTAGTGTTTTGGGGGCAGTGGTCTTGTCTAGATGCTGGATCCAAATGACTGCCTGGTCCACAGTCAGCCAGCCTGCTCCCTGGCTGCAGCCATCACTTGAGATTTCACAAAGTAGCCAGAGGACAGGATTTAACACAGCTATTTTTATTGCTTTGCGTTTATATTTTGGCAAAAACAGAGCGGAGACTCAGTGTGGGCTGTGACGTTCAGGAAAAAGCAGGTTTCATCCTCCTCATGAAGGACAGACTGCTGTTTTCTGAACCTGACATCAAAGCCACAGACACTAACTGGAGATCCAAGGAGAAAGTATTTTTAAATCTCTCCAGGTTCACGGCTCTTATTGTAGACGTTGTACACCGTGACACTCGGATTGATGCAGTTGAATCCGCTCTAAGTTCTCCCGGAGCACTAAAAGAGAAGCATAAATTCTTCAAATTCAAACTAGGCTACGAGTTAATTTTGGATGGAGCCATCTAGGAGAAATATACTTTGCTGCTGCCTTTCTGGCATTCTCTGTGCATCACTGATTGCGTAATGAAAAAAAAAAGTACTCATTAATAGACACACTTGATTTGGCTACTGATGACATAGTGAGCTCTGTGGCCTACATTTTATTTTCACAGAGATTTGGTTATTCAGGGAATTGAAACAGCACTTTATTAAAGACAAAAGTACGGCTGTCGGAGTTGGACCAACATTAAAAGCGGACTATATTTGGATCACGTCTTTCTCAAGTTTTTACAGGCACAGGATTAGCATGCGGAGCCGCTACAGGACGGCGGTTTTATGGTCTTAGAGGACACAGTTCCATATTATGACCTGGCGCACTAATGTTTGCTGTGTGGAGTGTGTACATGACGTGTATAGAGGGCAGCCGTCCTGTCCTTTGTGTCCCATGTGTTAACAGAACATCACTACCACTAATCAGTAGACGAGCTATAAACTGAAACAGGCCCATAACCTCCCTGAAGGACGTTTATACTGCAATGATTTCAATTTATGTAGGCAAACCAAGCCTGATGCATACGATATGCTTCTGAGACCCTTTAAGACCACATGGTCTCCATCATTTCACTAAAATAAATAGAGAAAGATTTGTGTGTTCCTTTCATTCTTTAGGCCATTTTTGGTAAACACCTCAATGGAAAGGCTGCCCTCATATCAGGTTTCCACATTCAGAAAAGGTTTGGTAGAGTGTTACCAAATGTTTCACAAGTAAGTAGGAATCGTCCTGCTTCTCTTTATGTGAACATTTTAAATAACGGAAATCGTTTCAGGTCTCTCCTGTAAAAAAGATCAGGTTGGTGACTAATAAAGGTTGAATTAAAAAACTGAATGTTTTCTTACCTGAATATTTGAAGCTCATTTGTGTTAAGTCAGGATAGTCAGTGGGTTTTACAGGTTTGTAAATGATAACTTTATTCTAATGTTGGTCTTAATTTTGTTGTTTTGGTGATCATTTTGATCAGTTATGTTACGTTGTACTCTTAAAGTAATTGATCTGGGAGCACTCAGACAGTCTGACAAGTTGTAAACAAACCTACAGTTGATCCAGATTATATAAACCACTTTATTCTAAGGTAAAGCTTAAACATGGTCAGTATTTAAACAGATTTTTCATATTGTAGCGTTGGATTACACACAAGTTTCTGCCCTGAAAGGCTGGTTCCAGATGGACAGAATAACAGGAACACCTTACGATTATTAAATGTAATCCTGTACAGTAGCCCTACAATACATCAACCTTTTAGGGACTGTTTTAAAGAGACTTTTGTTACCCAGGCACTGCTCTGCCCTCACATTAAAGTGGATGAATTAGCCTACCTGATTAAAAAACCCCAGTACTGGATTCTAATCAAAAATAAAGTCTGAGGTGAAGAAGATTCATCCAGCGTCTGTGTTCTTCCTGAAGCCTTCCTCTGCTTTCTTTTCACCTTTTCACTCTTAATGGCCTGACTGTATTTCCATCACGTGGTGCAGCTCTACTCCCTTTTGTTTTTCCACTGTAGGACTTTTATACTTTTAATTCTTATTCCTTATTATCTTTCCTCAAAAAATAAAACTTGTATTATAATACAATCATACACTCTGAGAGATTATATACTGATTATATACCTTTGTCTCTTCTCAGACAGGCTTGGTTATCAATATACAGCACTGGTTCTTCTATTTCTCCCAGTTTTCTGTGGTGGAATGAGCCTGCTGAGGCTCCACTTCTTCTTCCTTCCAAACTCTAGGTTGCTCTTTTCTTGCTTTTGCAGCCTAACAAGGCTACTGTCGGGCTTATGAGACCCGTTTTAAAGGGCCTATTAGGCCTGATAAATCTAGCATTGACATCCATTTTGACACATTGATTCAATGTGATCATAAAGTTGAAAGGTTTCTGTTATTTTGTCCACCCTCTGTATGCGCTATCATACAGGATTCACCAGAAGCAGGTTTATAAAAGCAGCGAGGCGTGGGCGGGTGGGTTTTTTTTTTTCTGAGCCGGCTGCAGGCGGTAGGGAAGCATGTTCCCTGTCTGCCTCCAGCTGGCGCTCAAAACACGGCCGCCCACGCTACCAACAGATACCTCCACACCCCCTCTAACACATACATTAAAGGACAATAGTACGCCAACGACAGACAAGGTGCTGCAACAATTATTTATAATAATAATAATATTAAAAATATGTATATAATATGTGCTCTTTTCTTTTCCTTTGCACAGGTTGAGGTGCAGAGACTTGAAGAAGCAACTCCACCCACTCCTCCTCCTGAATCTACTCCTCCTCCTGAATCTACTCCTCCCGACTCAACTCCACCTCCGACCAGCCAGTAACAGCCTCCGTGTAACCTTCCACACACACATAGACACTTGGATCAGATTGTATTATGTGTTCAATAAATGTGTAAGAATATGTGACAGATCACTTTACTCTTTCTTACGGGAATCACTGCAAATTTAAGGAAACCATCCCCCCACGTGTGTGTGTGTGTGTGTGTGTGTGTGTGTGTGTGTGTGTGTGTGTGTGTGTGTGTGTGTGTGTGTGTGTGTGTGTGTGTGTGTGTGTGTGTGTGTGTGTGTGTGTGTGTGTGTAGTGTGTGTGTGGAAAGATTTTCACAGTCCTTGGGGGGGGGTTATTACTGTTCAGCTGATTGCGGGCGTGCAAGAGTGAGGGGGATCTGCGTGTGTGTCAGCAGTTTGCTTAACAACAGAAGCAGAGTGTGTGTGTGTGTGTGTGTGTGTGTGTGTGTGTATTGGCTGAAGGTCAGGCAGCAGTGCAGCTGTTGCGTCTGTCACTCGTCAAACAGGTGGCTCTCAATCCTCAGAGTGTGCTCGTAGTCGAGTGTGAGAAAGTGTCAGCAAGCCCGAGGATTCCAGCCATGAGGCGGTTTCTTTTTACGTTTTTTTCTTCCCAGGATTCCAGGCGTTTTAACACATTAGGCACAACACTTCTGCTTTCTACCAGAGGTTGCCCCTTTTCTCATCAAACAAAATCCCTGTACTTCATTCACAGTACGTCAGTGTGCAGAGAGGCTCTGGATCTCTAAAGCTACATTTATTTGTACCACTCAAATAAGGCATCTTTTTATACAGGCTTTTTAGGTTATTAATACACAACTTTTCAAAGTTGTGTTTTCCACTACGATAGTCGACGACAACACCTTGAATTGTGACGAGCAATTTTCATTATTTTCTGCCATTTTATAAACCTTATATCTAATCTAGGAATTTATAAAATGAATGTATGTGACTTCCTGTCGCATTCAGACGATCAATATCACACTCTGTTTTATCTCGGCCAAGTTGATCTAAGGTAGTCCTTCAGCAGAGGAACAGGAAAAGATGTTTTTCTAATGAATATCTTATAGGTCATCTATAAAGAATTCATTAAAGGAATAGGTCAAGATTTTGGGAAATGAGCTCACTCGCTTTCTTGCTCAGAGCTGGATAAGATATCTCACTGATACATGTAAGCTTTATATGAAGCTTAGCATAGCATAAGCAGCTAGGTCTCCTCTTTGCCCGTGTGATCCTGTAATGCTTGTAAAGATTAATATATGACATGTTTCCTTCTGTTGTTGATTTTTCTGCACTGGAATCTGCCTTCATATTATATAAAAATGTACCCTGTGTTCTTGTATTCTGTAAACAATATATGTGTGCCATGTACCAAGGCTTTCAAAAAGTAAATAAAGAGGAAAATTCTAAGAAGAAAATGCGACTACCGGCCCCTATAACGCTCACTGCTTATTGTTAAGTGATGGAGAGCTTTAGAGGTGCTGGTAGAAGTATTTTAGCAGTGTATATAGTGTAGCAGTGTCCCTGTCTCCAGTCTTTATGCTAAGCTAATGAACACGAGAGTGGCACTGAGCTTCTCAGCATCTCATCAAGAAAGTGAATAAACTCATTTCCCAAAATGTCAAACCTTTCCTTTAAACCCCTTATAAAGCTTTAGTTACAACTTAAAAACACATTCCTTATTACAAAGTGCTGCCAGTAGTTTTTAATATCACGCCCAGTATTTGTGTAATGCTACAGGTGGTTGCAGACAGCTGGTAATGTTTAATGACCAATGACATGAAGAAAACATTTCAGCCCCTCCCCTTCCTCCGATCACCGCTCATTCTGCCCTGTGTGTGTGTGTGTGTGTGTGTTCCTTTTGGACAAACAAGAACATGTTCACATTATCTGATTAGTTATTTTGGTTATTTTGGTTCTGCGTCCCGATGACAGGAAACTTTTTTTTTCCTGCATTCCATCACAGTTCAAACCCCCGTCAGGACATGAAGAAGATTGAGCCAAGCTGTGCAGCTGTTGCTCCCACTCACAGATCCTACTACTGCCCCCACTGCCCCCACACCAACACACGCTGACGATGTGTGAGACACACCCAAGGACACATGCCTCGGCCTTGTCTCCGCTTCACTCCGCTGTCTTCAGTACTTTAGATTATGGGTTTGATCCTCAAGCTGCTCTGTGAATTTTGAGAGGCACAGTAACAACATCCATCACCTTAGAGTTTTCAAATACCCCATATATCTTAATTTGGTAGGATCATCCTCTCCTGTTTTCGAATACACAATTTCTAAGATCTAGATTGGACCCCAGTATTGGGATAATCCAATCCTACCTGGAATCCAAATCGCTGCTGTGTGTGGGCAAGGATTCAGTGACACATGGTTGAGTCTGACCGCTGCAGTTGCTGCGTATGCCACTAGGGGAGCTCTGATGTCATCAATTTCCTTCCTTCGCACAAGAACCTTTTCTCTGAGCGCTTTTATTTCTTCACTTTGGGGCGCTGGACTTTAAAATTCACTGAGCCTCGTAAGGGAATCGAACACATGTCCTCAGAAGTGTCGATTAGCCTACTAACACACTGCACTATGTGTTCGCAGACACTTTTTACTGGTTTCTTAGAGGCTTTCGTCTTCTTGGTGTTGAATTTCAAAATTCACAACGTCAACAGTTTGAACCCACAACCTCCAAACTTCCACACAGTCATCTAACACCTTGAGCTATTTGATCTGAGACACTGCAGCTCTTTTTCTCTGAGTTTTTTGCATTTCCTTTGGACAACCAACTTCAAAATTCACATATTCAAGCAAACATCAAACCCACAACCTCAGAACTTCCTAACAGTCCATCAGCACCGCGAGATATCTGACTTGAGACAGTTTCTTCTTGGTGTTGGATTTCAAAATTCTCAAATTCAACCAGGGATTGAACCCACAACCTCAGAGCTTCCAATCACTGACCGAACACCATGAGCTATTTGAGATTTTTTTTTCAGAGTGGGAGGATCGACTCTGTACCCTGAATTCCCCACTTGCTGTAGTTCTTCAGAGATGTTTAGGAATCACTGCTGGGCCTGTGACGCCGCTGCTCAAACATGATTAAATTTGAATAGCGACTAAAACACTCTGGAATAATGCATTCCTCGAAATGAATTTATAATGTGTTTCTGTTCTCCATTTTATGCTAAGGAGCTCGTGCAGTACGAGGTCGGCGAATTCACCCAAGAGGTTCCCTCGTTTAATTTTATAGTGGGAAGGACTGGCTGAACCGAGTCAAAGTGTTTGTTAAGCGCTGAGTCTAAGCAGGTTTTCAGGCTTAAAAGTTGCTTAGTCATCAGTAATTCACTGGGCAATCATTGATCGGCAGGTTTTGGGCTAATGAAACCGTCTGTTTCCCTCTTATCTCTGCACTGAACACACCAGAACTGATCATCATTTATTTCTCATTTGAAACCGGTTCCCTAAAAGCATTTTGCAAACTTTATGACTGCACCCCGTCTTCAAAAAAAATGTTGGTAATCTCATTTATTTTGTACATTTTTCGTACACGATGAGTCATATTCCGTCCTCCATATGATACAGACTCAAAACAGATTACAGCACCCACAAACAAACCAAATTATCCATCGCAATGAAGAAAGAAAAACAACCTAAAAAAAATCGCACAGAATGAGGAAAACTGCCAATCTTAGAAAATAAACACTGACAAACAGTGAAGGGGAGTTTAAACATTAGATTAGACATACAGAGTATAAAGCATCAAACAGCATCCTCCTCACAACTGGATCATTTTTCCAAAAAACTTAAAGGGGGCCAAAAACACACCCACAGTTCAGCTTCTCCAGAGTTAATGCCAAAGAAACATTTACTCCAAAGTGATAGTAACCATAGTATCCAGATAAAGATTTGTTTCTTTGTGAGGATCCACATTTGCTCCTTAAGGCACATTCCAGTCGAACAAACACATTAAACATTACATTACAATGAATAGAAAGGACAAACACAAGACTTATTAACCTTACTGCCATAAACTTTAAAGCCCCTCACTCAGAAACCAGTGTGCAGAGTAGATGCTTTTTTATAGATCTGAATGGGGAAATTAGACTTTTATTCCATTTTTTTTCTATTTGCATATATCTTAATACATGTCATAACTTATAAACCCTTTAGCCTTTAAATTGTGCCTTATTAACGAGTGGTACCATAATAACCTGTACTCCTCCCCATGATCTAGGTCCCTGATGGAATAGAAATGATTCAAATCTTTCAGTCTGTTTGGAGGGAATGTGGCTCTCTAATAAATCTATGCTGTCCAGCAGTATTAAAAGGGGTCACCCCGGGTCCCGCTAAGGTATGATGGGGTGCCACACCTTGTTGCCATACCCAGTTGCCTCCCGTTCGTTCTGTGGCCATTTGGCAGTGCAGTGCGCGTCTTGGACACGGCGCTGCGCTCTCGGCGCTCCGCTCCGTCTGAAAGCTCACTCCGCCCTCCCTCCACCTCCATCCCTCCATCCCTCCACCTCCACCAGCTCCGAAACCGCACAGCAAAAGAGGAGACAGGACGTTCACCCGCCGCCTGCGATCGCAACCCGAGGCACGCCGCTCCTTCTCAAGCCAGGACACCGGCGTCTCACACCGATCGCTCCCCCGGAGGTGCGTCCCTCCACACGCTCGCCCTGCCAGCAGCTCCGTGCCACACCGTGCCGCTCCGTTCCGCGCCGGGCCGGTCCGCTCGCCCCCACCCCCCCTGGAGAGCAGTTTATTCCCTGGAAGCTGGATGAATAATTGGAGAGTTGTGAACAAGTGCGAGAAGAAAGCTGAGGCTCGGGATCTGCCTCCTCGCTCCGTCCAGGGAAGACAAGACTCAGCCAGGAGTTGTGGACGATAATGGAGGGGACGTCCCTGTATCTTCCTATTGTTATTTTACTGATGCAATGTAAGTGGCAACTATTCATCCACTGCTTCTCTCTTTCTGTGTGTGTGTGTGTGTGTGTGTGTGTGTGTGTGTTTTTCTCTACTTCTCTCCGCCACATGAAGCCAGGGAATAGATGATGAATGTGCAGGATGGCAGCTTTAGTGGATTTTAAGTGATCCTATTACTTTTTATTTACAATGATTTCTATTTTACATGAATGTCCTGGGATGTGTACTCAGCAAAAAAAAGTCATTTAATTTAGTGCTTCAGACTTCAACTCTTTTTATTCATTTATTTTTTGACAAAGGAGTTCTTACAAAGTAGAGACACTTTTTTTTAAAGTGGTTTTATTAACTGACATCTTCTTAAGAGCTTTGTTGTATTTCTATTTTTTTATTTCTTTTTTAATCACAAATTCTAAACTTCCGTACATAAACACATTTGGTTAGGCGTTATTCTGCAGTTCCCCGGTTTATCTGAAGCCCCTCTGTGGGAGCGGGCTGTGGCCACGGTGGAGCCAGGCTGGGTTCCTACAAGGTGGCCCTAAAGTTGTACTTGGCGGTGTGCCACCTAAAGGGTGTGGGCGGCGTAGTGGTGGCGGGTGGGCACCCGTTTTGGCAGAAGTAGAGGTGGATCCGTGTATGAGGTCACTGGTTGGATCACCATCAGAAACTTCAAACTGTTTCTCTTCGTGACGAGGTGTTTCTATAAGCAGGGATGTTACCAGGAGGTTGGAGGCGGCCAAAAAAGTGAAGATACAAGAGAAAAAGAACGCGTTAAAACCAATTTTATTAAACAGCGAATATGCATTTCCTTTGGTGGTCCTGCATGGAGAGCTGTGTGTGAGATAAAGGGGAATAGAAAGGAGTATAATTAGTTAGGAGTCCAGGGGAGCAGTAGCAGTTTGAGATGGATGTGATGAGACAGGGAGAGTGAGTGATGCACATTTTACTCTGTTGTCCACATTTTGCCACCTGTCAGGCTGACAGGTCACGAGTTCACAGAGGTGTGTGTGTGTGTGTGTGTGTGTGTGTGTGTGTGTGTGTGTGTGTGTATGTGTGTCCGTCCAAGACAACCTGACAGAAATCACTCATCTAACAGTTTGACCAAAGCAGCATCAAATCAGCCTCAGCTCTACTGGAGTGTATTATTTGGAAAAAAAATCCAGGAGGAAATGTTTTGGGTGGGTCTCTGGCAGGAGACCCGACATCCCACACACACACAGACACAGACACACACAGACATGCACACACACCCCGTGTCTAACTGAGACAGCTGTTGCTCACAGGGTTACAGTCATACAGAGGGGCTTTGTTCAAATGGAGAACGCACACACACACACACACACTCCTCACCCTGTTTTTGTCTGTACCCCCACAGCCTTGAAACGTGTGTGCTGCCCACATTGGCGTTATCTATATCACACAGCCAGACAGGATACGTCCTATGGGTCCATCTCCCTTCCTCTTTCATTTGTTCCCTGTTAATTTGAATAAGTGCCTTAATTATTACTGCGCCATGCTTTTGACCTCGGCACAGCCCTGGCAACACCCACCCCAGTCTCTGTAACACTCTGTACGGACCGCGTAATGAGAGGAAAGCTGCGTGCCAAGGAGCGAGTGTGCCATCTTTCTATTTTTGCTCAGGCAGGAGGGTGGCTGTCCCTCTGTGAGTTTAAGCTGTCGCAGTGTTTGGTTGATGTTAATGCCACGCACGAGGTGTGTGTGTGTGTGTGTGTATGCGTGCGTGTGTGTGTGTGTGTGTGTAAGCTTGGCTGTCTTGACGCCTTTTGTCTAGATGTTTTTGTGCTTCAGAGCCACAACAGCCCCATAGCAGAGGCATTTTAATTACCTCAGTGGACACATGATGCCACATTGGAGGACCATGAGAGACCTGCTGCTACATGAAGAACTTTATTTAAAAGAAAGCCTATGTAAGCAGTTTTAGTAATTCCGGGTGCACACTGGTCCTTTTCGGAACCAGGGGACTGTGTTCGGTCCCGGTCGTGGTCACTGGGAGGCTGCTGGGCCCAGCTCCTTTGCCTTTTCGCCACACTCTGGCTATGGTGCTCATTCCGGCCCCGCTCCTGTGTTAGTGCTGTAAACACACCTCTCCTCGAAAGGGACCGCTAACTAGCTAGTGGCAGCAGTAATTTAATGTTGTTTTTTTGCGACTATCCCACAAATAAAAAGTGAAATAATAAATAAAAATCTTCTCATCGACTATCAGTTTAATCGGCCATTAGGGAACAGCCCTACTATACTCTCTAACCTACTCTAAAACCACTTTTGCTCGGCTAAATGAGGCTTGAAATGAGTGACATTTATTCTTTGTCTACATCTCAAGGCTGGAACCGGCCTCTTCGGGCTGCTCTGGCGTTGTTGGTTGACATTTAGCTGGCTGTTTCTTCTGTTTTCCATTAACAATCCCGCCTCCCAACAATGGATCAACCAGTCAGCTGGCTTAACGCTTTTCCCCCACATAATGCGTAGATGAGATGTCCCTGCGTGGACCCTCGGAGACGTTCACGTGTACCTTTTGGAGGACCATTATTCCAGCCTTAGACTGCACGTCTTGTAGGGTTATATTTCACATCTGGTTGTCTCATGCACATTTAATTTGCTAAAAGCTGTTTATGCATGTTTTAGAATTCTCCTGTATACCGGGCAGTGCGGCTAAAAAAACTACATCTCCATGTGAGCGAGGCACAACTCTGAAGTGACAGCCGGAGCTCCGCGGGGTCAACCCTCGCATGCTAAGCAGACGCTTTAAACCTGAGTAACGTTTCTTGTTGAATTCTTGGACAACAGGCTCTTTTCATTTAAGGAGCTACACCATGTTAACATTACCCACCATGCAGTTGTGAAAGGATCTGAACAGGCCATGTGTTCGTTGTCTGCCTCGACGCCTTTGTAGTTAATTGAGACCATTGAAGCTGACAGTGTTCATAGTAGTGGAACTCACAGCGAGGCACGACACAGGAGCGGCGGGGCCTCACATGCAGAGCCTTTTTGCGTTTTTTTTTTTTTTTTCATGTGTGCACTTTAATATGTGTGTGTGTGTGTGTGTGTCAGTCAGTGAAGCAGTAAAGTGCGGGCAAGTTGTCAACCCCGCTACATTTCTTCTCTCTCAAAGAGACACCCTTCAAGGTGGCGGCAGGCCTGCTCTCACACTATGTGACAAGAGCTTCTCCCATTCACAGTCCTACTGTCTGAGAGGATCTCCCTCGCCTTCAATCCCACTCTCTCTTTTATTCATGCTTCTGCGGGTCTCTGGTCCCCCCCCCTCCCTGTCCCTCCACCAGGTCCCCCACTCCGCCTCACTCTCCTCCACTCTACTTCATTTGTATTCTATTCTTAGGGCCGCTCATCTCTCCTTTGTCGTTCCTTCTCGTCCCTTTTTAATCTCATTGTATCTCCCTCCCTCGTCTTGTTCATCCTTTAGTGAGACAATGCTCCTCAGAGGGTGTCGAGGTACGCGAGCCAAGGCTACGATGATAATCCTGTTACACTGCCGCAAGTCAACACATGGCAAAGCGAGGGGAAGACGAAGCGTCTGGAGGGAGAGTGTGCAGTTTTAATTCACTTAGCTCAAAGTTTGACCAAGTGAAGTTGGTGTAAATTGAGCCAACTTCAGGAAAAGCTTTAAAAAAAAAAAAAAAAACTTGAGCGTGCGTCATGCCGCATTTGGCGGATGACATTATTATTGTATAGGCTGTTGTTTATTCAAAAGCCAATTTAAAAATAGCCGTTGGCGAGGAAATTAGAGAGAGCGAGAGACCTTTAGGTATGCATAGAAACTGCATGCTCTTTTTTTGTATGGTCCAACATGGCCATCTTCCTGTTGTATTCCACACTTCCTGCCCTTTGTCTCTGCCTGCCCTCCATTCTTCCACGCCAGCCCTCCCTTCACAGGAGAACATTTCTATAAGGCGTAGTAATCCATTAACAATGGGCCCACGCAGGAAATGACTGACAAACAGGAAACTGGACAGCGAGCAGTTATTTCAGTGTAGGTTTTTAACCTGTTAAAACCCTCCAGTGGCGGGCTGGGGGTTGTGGGTATAGAGGTGCTGTTGGGTTATTGGTAGGGTTGTGAGATTTGAATCTGGATGTGTCATTTGCTGAAACAAAGGCAGGAAAAATAAATCAGTGTGAGAGAGAGGCCAAGTTAGGCTTTTCGCCTTTAAGAATATGTGAAGGAAACATCTTTATTCCACCAAATTCCAAGTTTGTTAGAGTTTTTTTTGTAGCCCTTAATAAGTAAGTACCCCTGAGGCCCATTCAACATTTATTATGTAATTTCAAAAATGCATGGCCTTCAGTCTAAAAATGTTTTTTTCATTTTCCTAATTTGCAGACTTTTGGGAGACGTTATCGGCTCTCAGAGAGTGTTTACTGTGCTTGCCGTGTCTAACCCGTTTGTCCCTCGGGTAACCTTCCCCCCCACTGTTAACCTGTATTTAACAACAGGACAACCACACAATAATCCCCCCCCTCCCTCCCCCGTAAACCAATCAGCACACAGGAAAGGCAGCTCCTGCTTCCTCTTCCTGTTTGGATGTTGGGTATCAGTGACACGCAGATGGCAAATGGAAACAAACAAGGACAGTGTGCCAACCGCCTCTTACTAATGCCCCCACGCGCCCGCCCGCCCTCCCACCCATTCATCAGGTTAATCTGGACAAGCCTCTGGTGTGATGCTTGGTGACATTGTCCTAACCTGCGTTTAAATAAACATACGGCGGGGTGCTCCTTAACCTCGCAGGATTAAAGCGGAGGAGGGAGTAATCCTGCCTTCATACCTCAAATCTCCTGGACTGTGGGCTGTGTGCGCCTCAGACAGTGGAGCAAGAAAGAACCAAAGACAGCCATTAAGCATTCTCCTCTTGCAGTTGGCGGGCAATGTGGAGCACTTTACCCAATTCACCTTGCCCCCTAATGGATGACAAGAGATATTGCGTTCTGAACTGCTCTCACCCCTCGTTTTAACATTTTTTATCACCCACTCTCCCTCCCCTCTTCTTCTTCTTCTTCTTCTCCACCAACACCAGGTTCCCCCTCCGTTCCTGTTACCGTGTCGACCAACAAACACAAGGTGGAGGTGCGCGAGTTCTCAGGTGAGGGAGAAAAAAGAAGCAGCTCGTCTCTCGGCCGCCTCATCTCACTTTTGAGTCATTTTTAGAGCCTCTGCTCCTGTCAGATTCTCTCTGACAGGATAAACAGCGAGGCTATAAATAGAGCAAGCAGTTAAAAATGCCACTGATTGAAGGCTCTGCCATAAATATCTCATTGGTCCCGTTCCCTGTTTTCAGATGCGGTGCTGTCCTGCACGTTCCACACTGAGAGAGAACAGGACCCGCGGATCGAGTGGAAGAAGAAGGGGAAAGATGTTTCCTTCGTGTACTATGGTGGACACTTCAGAGGTGAGAAAGCAGCCTGTTGTGCTTCATCCCCCCCCCACCTCCTGCGACCAACAGGGTGTTTGTTTTAATCAGCTTGCAGTGCCAGCTGGAAGGGGTGTGCCACATAGGGTGAGGAAAAAAAAAACCCCACCCGGGCACGGTGAGACAGGAATGATGGATAAACTGTCTGTGTCAATGATGTCAAGGCATAAAATCTTAACCTGTCTCTTATCCTTGATCCCGCTCATTTGCGGTTTAGGATGTGGATTTAATGGCTGAAATAAATAATAAATCATACAGTAGTGTTCCCCCGGTCAGTCTCTTTTATAGGCGGCGCAGTTAGCCTGACCATTTTCTCAAATATGTCAAGGCTTTGAAATGCCTCTGACCCGTCGCTGCCTCTTCGTTGGCAACTAATTCCCAGCTGAAGTTAGTTTAAAAGGTTGCATGAATTACTGCCTTCACAATGTCAGGTGATTTCTTAGAAAGAGCAGCTCGTAAATTCACGAAAAGTCACTCTTCCACCCACAGGCTGGATTATCGGGTTAGGGGGCCGCCAATGAAACTGAGGCTCTCAGAAGTCTGGGGCTATTCCCTCAAAAGTTGGTCTTCAGGAAATATCTGTCTCTTTAGCTGCTATATGCCCCACTATGTTCACCAGCCAGTCTTTAACTGTGTACTGTGGGTTTTTAGAGCTTCTTCTCTGAAACAGCTGCTACGGCCAGAAATGCGCTATGAGAGCACAGGATGAACCAAAACAGAACACTGAACAATGAGCTGAAACCTTAAAACTAAAGCCAAGAAGAGTTTCAGATTCACTGCATTCACCACTAATAATATATCATGAAGTCTGAATATCACTATATTGTGCTCTGTAGGTAATGTATATTATAGATGAAAACAAAGTGACTATAGCCCGCAGCTAGGGAAGACATTTTCCGTCCCTGATCTTCCTGACCTTCCGTCCTTTCTCTCAGGTCCCTTTGAGGGCCGGGCCACCATCAATGGAGCCACGGTGACGCTGCAAAGGGTGACCCAGGAGGATGCTGGGGAGTACCGTTGCGAGATCAGCGCTCCTTCTGACTCCATCAGCCTGGGCGAGACCAACGTCACGCTCAAAGTCCTGGGTACGACTTAAAGACAAGCAATGATACACTGAATGAAATTTGAAAGGCTGAAGTGTTGAGAGAGTGGCTTATGTTTCTGTAATTCTGTCCTGCAGTTCCCCCACACACCCCATCCTGCGAAATCCCCAGCGGGGCAGTGACAGGCTCAACGGTGCAGCTGCGCTGTAGGGACCAGCAGAGCATCCCGCCCGCTACATACTCCTGGTTCAAGGACAACCAGCTGATCAACCCGCCTCGACTCCCAAACGCCACCTATCTAATCAACTCACACACAGGAATACTGGTGAGTGTCGGCAGATAAGGAAAACTGGGTAGAATGGAGTGTGTATTGGGAGGTTGTTTACATGGTTTCCTTGCAGTATCATGTCTTATCAAAAGAAGCGAGGAAGTTTTCTTCAAGGTGCTCTCGTTTGATAGTAGGTAGCGTTATAGAGTCTTTCTCAAGGACGCCTGAGCAGAACAGATGCTTCGATTTATAAGCACGGCCGCTCTAACAAGTTTTCCTCTTCCCTCTCTGTGTCTCCTGCAGGAGTTTAAAGCTGTAGCCAAAGAGGACACCGGCAGTTACAGCTGCCGGGCATCGAATGGAGTGGGGCCACCAATGATGTGCGAGGGCAAGCACATGACGATAGGTGTGTGTGTGTGTGTGTGTGTGTGTGTGTGTGTGTTTTTCCACACTTCATCCTGCCTCTTCCCCCACACCTTTCAGCACTGGAGAAAATCAGGGATGCAGTGGAGAGGAAAAGCCCACTAAACTTACTTCCCCCTGCTTTTAAAAACACCTTTACAAACTAGACTTGAAGGGCCACTGTATCCATTCTGGGACAATCTGAATAGTCTGAAGCCTCAGCGCTCAATTCTCATGTATTGCTCAGAACTGATTTTCTTTGTTTGTCTGTTCACATTATTTGTAAAAAGTGGCCCATATCCGATTCCACGGTGAATAGGTCCTGTTCCTGAAGTGACTTGCATGACGAACGTAGCTCCAGAGTGGCGTAAAAGTCACATGATTTCTGATAAGACTGCTCACACTCACATTACAAAAAATCTGACCTGTATCTGATTTGGGCCACTTGTGCCTGCAGCATGAACGCAGCCTAAAATGAGACTGTTTTGTTTGGAAAGGTCTTCAGCTCGCTAATAAATTATACAATGTACTCTAGGTTGATGCAAGCAGCCACTTATTATTGCATATTGGAGTACAGGAGAAGGCTTTAGACAGAGTTGCATTAAAATGTGGCCTTCATGTTCATGTTTGGAGCCTATAGTTACTACTGTTAGGCGATCAGATATTCCTCCATCTTTCCTGACTTACTGCTTCAATAAAACAAAGCTGGAAATGGAGAGCTTTTCTGCTGCATGTGGAAAACAGACTATAACTCTTTATTCCCGCCTCCCTCTCGCTTCCAGAGGACGTCAACGTCGCAGCCGTGGTGGCAGGAGTGTTGGTGGTCTGCCTGGTCATCGCGGTCTGCGGATGCGGGGGGTTCCTCTTACATCGCAACGGCTTCTTCAGTCGTGAGTTTGTCTTTTTAGTCCAATCCAATAAGCGCTTTGTCTGCCTCCCTGAACAGTGAATCAGTTAATACACATATTGTTTTTATTCTCTCCAAAAAAAAAAAAGTGACACTCACTCTGTTTTCTCTTCCACGGTCCCTCCTGACTTATCCATCAGCAGGACACAGAGGAAGGTAAGAGCTCTGTGATTGCATTAACACTGATGTGAACAAACACAGGCTAATACCCTACACACTGAGATTGAGGAAGGAGGGGGGATTGTTGTTGCACTTAGACTGTGTTGCGTGTCTGCGTGCTGAGTCAGGACTGTATAGAGTGACAGCTGTGGCTGTGTGCGCCTATATGTGTGTGTTTTTGAGCCACAGCCGTGCCTGTTGTTCTACTCATCCAGTGATTGGCGCCAGCAGATGTAAAAACCATGGGAAAAGGTTGTGTGTGTGTGTGTGTGTGTGTGTGTGTTTGTTTTTTAAACTGACTGCCACTTCCAGGCAGATGTACATCTGTTGAAACTGTGTCAAAATGCAGCAAGACAGATGATCCAAAAATTCAGACAATTAAAGGAGGAGAAATAATCAGTGCAGCATAATTATGGAATAATTACCAGCTGTTAATCAGCAAGGAGGAAAATATTGGCAGTAGAAAGAATCGCAAGCAATTAAACTGATTGGATGGGTAATTTGAAATGGATTATTTAGATATTGTAGAATGAGACTGTGGCATAACAGAGGGCTGTGAGTGCAGTGCATTTACACACAATATCAGGCCCCGTCCAGTAAACACACCAGGGTGTGTGGGCGGAAGGACGTTTTGATGCTTGACTGCCTGTTAAGCCAGAAACCAGAGACATAAATGCTTGTCCCCATGTGACTGGCCTAACTCACTTGACTTTATGTTATTTGATTACTGGCTTGTTACCGTGCAGCGTTTGATGGAGAGTCGTTGTGGAGCTCTCCTTGGAGCTGATGCGAAAGCTCTTTGTCTAGGTTAAAGTCTGATGCTTATCCCACTGAGCTAACTGGAGCTGTCAGTGTCAACTTCCTATTTATAGAACAGGCTTCTTCACAAAGACTCAAAGACAATGTGACATGATATCTGATGCACCAATAGTAGGCACAAGTTAACAGAGTAGGACTGTAGATCATGGATTCAGCTCTGCCTTTAACAGAGAAATGGACATGGAGATGAAGATAGATGGATGAATTCTATCATGCTAAACACTGAGCAGGGTCCAGTTTGAAATTGTCCTTACAGTTGATGGTTTTTGTAAAAAGGAGAATTTGGGCTGTTTGTCTCTGAGATTTAAGACCCTAAAAAAGAAAACAATACACATAGCTGTCCATGTACCCTGATGGTTACATAAATACGTAGCTCCCTCAGCTAGTGTTTCAGACGGATATTTGAAGAAACATTATTTTTACTACAGTTCTGTTTTTCCCAATTGTAATCACAAAACAATAGATGTAAATAAATTGGATAATTTACTTGTAGTGGTGCAGCGTGTGAGGGGCGGGTCCAGTAATAAACTAGACAAACAAAAGTTTATGAATAACTGTATTTATTTCAAATGAATAACTACTCAAAATAAATTACTTTAATATAATATATTCAACATAAATAACTTAATAAGTAAATAATTTACATCTTTAAATATATTTTCAAAATCTATAAGAGAACAAAACAGATTTTTTTTTTTGGTGAACATGTCAAAATAAATTTTTTTAAATACAGAAGTGTAATAAAATACACATTTTCAAATTCAAGACATCAGAAATTCACATACAGACACAGACACTGCCGCTGACTGTACACAGGCCAGCCGTATACTAGCTTATTAAATGTTCATCTGCAGTGGTGCCAGTCATATTTGTTCTTAAGGTTTACTGAAAAGCAGATCACATGAAATAGTTACGACACAGCTACGTTTGAGTCATAAACTGTGAGAAATGCAGTTGCAAAAACAGTATTTTCCACTTGTTCCTTAAAATGTTTGATTGAGACATTTCCTTCTGTTAACTCCCCCTGCTTTGATTTGTTCCTGTGGATGTCTGTTGTTTTTCTATGACTCACTCCCTATTGAGTGTTTTGTCAGTGATTGTTATTTAGAGTGCTTTAACTGTGCGCTTTCCTTCATGTGTCTCTGTGCACCGAGTGCAGTTTTCTCTGTTATTGTCCATAAGCACTGTCTCCGTCTCTCACAGCAGTGGGTTTTATGTTGTTTTCCAGTTTCATTCCCTCATGCTGAATATTAGGGACTGTCATTTGTGCACATATGATGTACTGCGAAGAAAAACTGCAGCGTTGAGCAGAATTTACAGGAAATGGTTATATTTGCGGTAATTGTAACTTCCTGGAGGAAAAGTGGGTGTGTTTGTGCTAGTGGGTAGTGACATACTGTAACTCCAGATTTAAGAGTATAGGCGTAGGCCTCTAAGCTGAGGGCCCCACTGGTTCCTTTAACTACGATTGTTTGGTCTCAGTCTAATTTATACAAAGGTGAGAACTTTGGGGCCCTCGAAGTACGCGGGCATGGACTGAATGTGCTAAAGTGCCGCACGAACGAGGGATGAACCCACTGGGGGGTTGCTGGTCTGTGTGCATTATGAGATGACAATTGCGCAATAAAGAGCTCTAGAAGGGGCCTAAACTGGAGCCTTGGGGAACACCAATTATAAAATGTCCATTTAAGAATAAATAAATGTGTAAAGATTGTGCATGTGTCTTGCTCAAGGACACTTCCACAGCTGTAGCACAAACCTGAAAGAAAGACAGTAGAAAAGAGTCTCATTGGCTTTAGACATTGTATACTGGGGTGTTGGATTGCTGCATGTGATTGGCTCACCACTTGACCGGCTCATCCCAGCATTTCGTTGAGCTCTGCTGCATCATGATTGGCTGCATGTCTGTACAGCATTGCCACTAGTGTATGAAATATTAAATCATTCATAAAGGTGTGCTTGAAAATAGAGCTTTGTACCCGTAATGGTGGGTTTGAACTTTTAGGTTTGTTTTTGTCATTTCAAAGCATGTGGTTGAAAATACAGCCATCTCACTGTAATCTGACTTGTATATTTGATTTCAGTTTCGATGTTGTGTATTCAGGTCATCGCTGGCAGATTTATTTTTTTCAGTCTGAATATTTAAGACTTCTGCCTGCAAACTGTGCTTCGCAGGTACAGTGCATTCAGATTCATGCCTTTAAGCTTCATTTTACAAGCTGAGGACAAAAATGATCCACACAGAGAGATTGTTTTGCATAGTATAGTTGTGTACGCAGTGTGTCGTCCAAAAGGAGGTTAGCCTTACAGGTCAGTTCACACTCAGAAAGGCTCCCAGCTCACCCGGCGTCCAGTAGGTTTGTGTTACTCATAAATTCACTAACTGGGTCATTGTAGAGTCTTTGTGTATTTTGTTGACCTGCTGGCCTGGAAGATTCTGCTTTTACGTTATTTACCTGAGTGACTGAAACCTATTGGACGCCAGGTGAGCTGGGAGCCTTCCTGCTTGTGAAATTATGCAGGCGTGGATTTGAATGCTCAAACATGTGAGGCACCAGAAGTCTTTATGTTCAGAATAAAATAAATAAATCTGCAAGCAGTGACCTGAATATAGAAATGTTCAGGAACACATCAGATGTATTTGATATACTTTCAAGCACACCCTTGTGAATTATTAAATATTCCATACTAATAAGCCCCCCACCCGACTCCATTAAAGCATGGTGTGCAGTTTGAGTCCGAAATGACCCCGCTCTTGTTGACCCTCTTTAAAGCCAACAAACTGACCCCTACAGGTCATTTTGGATCTCCCAGTGTCATGGTGCAGCCCACATCAGCAGCCAAACCCTGCACAGAACTGAGGACACGTGAGTGTGACCCTTAGGCCCACAGACAGATACGGAAGCAATTAACATCCATAATAATATGAATCTTTCACTAAATACTTAATAGTGAAATTTATTCATAACACAATTACCTTCCAGTAGACCTGTTCTGGGCAACTGTAAAAACGTTAACCACAACTTTAGTTTAACACCAAACTTGACAGATGTTTTCATCAAATCTATGACATTAAAAAAGTTTTGAGAATTTGTTTCATTATGAAATGCAGAAATACAATAAAAGTAACGAATAACAGGATTTTTTTTTAGCACATCTCGTTCGTTTAAACCATTCAGTAACAGAAATAATTGACAATTTGTGTTGGATTTATCAAAATGTCAAACTATTCCTTTAAAAGTCCAGTGTGTAACATTGAAGAGGATCTATTGGCAGAAATTGAATATAATATGCATAACTATGTTTCCATTAGTGTATAATCCTAAAAATAAGAATCATTATGTTTTTGTTACCTTTCAATGAGCCATTTAAAGGTCACCTTCCATGAAGGCCGCCATGTTGAACCGCCATGTTTCTACAGTAGCCCAGAACAGACAAACCAAACACTGGCTTTAGATACGACTGTTAGCGTTTTTTGTGGCCACCGTAGTTTCTCCTTTGCGCTTGGAAGGGGAGGGTGATGCATGGGGGCAACTGCTACATGCCATAAATCATACACACTGGTCCTTTAAGTATTCAGTAGTGGTTCAATATTACAATTAGATTTTTAGTTTTCTAATTATTTCGGTCTGTTTTTGCCTCCATAGACAGACGAGCAGAGTAAGTGTAGACTCATTGTGTACATTTATATTCAGTAGTCATTAGGTACACACTGTTAAAACAGTCCCACATTGACTTTGATGCAGGCAGTAATGTTTTCAAGGCTTCCTTCAGCAGAACCGTGGTATTAGACTGCGTGTTCCTTACACATTCCTCTCTCCAGCTTAATACAATCCTGCTCAGCCATCGAGAATTCAAAGTGAGACTTTCCTTTTTACCCAATGGGAGGTTTGCCATGTATGATGTGCATTATTTATGCAGGGCAAGATATGACTCAGGATACAGCTGTCCGCCTCGAGTCTCTTCTCTTCTCTGTGACTGTGTCAGACTGTCCGATGTGCTCACCATGTCTTTGTCTTCCAGGTCCAATGTCAACTACATCCCCCCGCCCCAAGAAGTAAGTGTTGTTTTTTTTTTTCTCCCTCTCTCATGTTGGGCTCTGAGTGGTAACATGAGCAAAGCGCTGACTTAAGCACAAGCTGCTCACACTTACCTAATGAACGTTGGTTTTTGATTGAAATTATAACACCGTCACCCTGAGCCATATTTCTGAAACAAGTGCAAGAAAACGACCGGATAACTAAATGTGTGTTTTTTTTCTGTGTCCCTCAGCCCCAGGACTTTAAACACACCCAGTCATTCATGCTCTGAGAAGCTGGCCTTCCTTTGAGAATACATCACCCTCGTGATAAGGTGCCAACACTGGATGATTTTCTTTTCTTTTTTTGGACTCTTGAGTGAGCTGTTAATCTTCCAATACATGCTAATTTCAATCTTCTTCCTCTGCCACTCCTCGTGGATGGGTTATGACAAGCAATTTTTTGCAAGGCTTCTTCTTACTCTCTTGCTTTGCTGTGTGGGTCTGTCGTTCTCCTGCTCTTAAGGGATTAAGTTCAGTTTCATGGCACTCTGCTCCCCCCTGGTGGTCAGATGTTGATATTCCAATTGATCTTCTCTGAATGATCCAGGGGCTAGCTGAGCTTTCTACAGACTTTGCAGGCCAATCCTTTTTAACTACCTTTTGTTTTCTTTTACCAAAGACTGTGTGGTAAATATAAAGGTTTTAATCATCACACAGAGTTCTCTTTAAAGCCATATGGAAAGCTTTGTTTTCAATCTACACAAACATAAATGCAGTTTACCTCAGCATCTGCCACATGCCAGTGCTTTGTCTTCTGTAACACTGGAGCCCCAGAAGATCCCCACGATCTTAGTAACAACATGGTACCAGACCAAGAGAACAGGAAGCCACTGCAGCCAATTCTACTGAGACCAACCCCATTCCATCCTAATGTGCCTGCATGGTCTTTATATATATAAATATACCTTGTGCCTTTTTAATTTGTCTGTCATATTTATCTATGGATCACAGTTTTTTGTAAAGAACTTGCCTTACTTTTTTCTGTCTTTATATTTTTGTGCCACTGTTTGTCGATGTTTATCAAAACGGAGTGTCTGTTTTTAGACAGTGTGTGAATGGATTGTTCAGAGTTTTATTTGAATGGTGTACCAGTAATAAAAAGGTTTTCTATTCAAAACCATACTCGTCATTATTATTGCAATCACAGTCACACAGTGGCGGAAAGCACATTTACTCTAGTGCTTTTTATTATTAGTAGTATTTGATCTTTACTAGTATTAACATTTTCTACTCTATTAACCAGTTTTACTTTAGTAAAAATGTGATTACATAACTTTGACTTGTATTTCTACACTGTTCTAATGCTACTTTTACATAAGTAAAGGACTTCAGTACTTCTTCCACCCCTGCAATAGAGACCTTCACAGCAGCCATTTTGAAATGAAATGGCGGGACTAACACAGGTGTTACCAATGATACTAATGAAGGCTGCCGTAGTACACGCTGGCTCCCTGCAAAGGCTCTGCTCCACTAACTGGAACCGAACCTTAACTAGTGTCATTGGCGGTGGTGTTCAGCCTGCTATTCCAAGGGTTGGGCTAGTTACTCACTACTCTTTATTTTAATTACTACTCCCTGCAAACAGTAATTAGTTACTCTACTACTTTTTTTGCTAGTACCCACAAAATTGGTAATTATGTCCTGTTACCCTGAAATTCAGACTGACGATTAAAATCCAGTTCTGTTTGGTAAAATAAAAGTATTAGTGCTGAATATAAACATTTTTATCTTCCAAACTAGTTTACTCAACGATCACAAAAATGAATCCAAGGATGTGATTGGATTGTTGGATTTTAAATGAGTAGGGTGGTGACAACAAATGTAATGTTATAACTTATTTTTGAGGGTGTTTATTGTAATATTACTGAAATGTATTAGTACTTAGTTACTGGGGAAAATAATATTATAACTGTAATAGTACTAGTAATGCGTTTACTGCCCAACACTATTTCAGGTGAAAATGGCTTCTGTGAAGAAGACCTACAACAACACAGGTATCAAACTGAAATGATTTAACTGTAATCTACAGCAGCACTGATTAATGAATCTAAAGCTGGTTAGTTGGTTGCTTTTTGTGACCCACAGTATTTTTACTCCTTTATTCCTGAAACTAACTGCATCTTTCTCATCTGCACGTCATCACATGCATGCTGAAAGCCTCTTCTGTATTCCCACAGGGGGACATACTGAAGCGCAGGAAGCAAGACTGTACATTAATCTTTCAAATGCATTTCCTACTGACAGGCATCAGAGACAGGTTGATGGACAGATTGAGCTTGGAGCCAGAGTTCAGTCCCCAAATTACAGTTCAATATTTAAGAGTGAACGCTAAATAAAATGCATCCACTCCCGCAGGGCTCACGGCTTGAATTTTTAAAATGTCTGCCAATATGGACTCTGGGCTCTTTATATATGAGTTCTCTAGTTGTTGTCAATCATAATACACAGCAAGGTATGGATGTGCTATTCTGTACTGGATGCAGTCACACTGAGCCAAATCTTGGTACTTTTTCTGCGCTCGACATTAAAGCCTGGCTGCACGTGAGATGGAAACGTGCCCTTTCTGTTTCAGATATTCTTCCTGGAAGGGCATAAATGTATTTCTGACCTCGTCATAAAGCAGCACACTCGAGACCAACGCAGAGCGACAGCCGGTTTTCATCTGGGTCAGCCAACAGTTGAATCACTGCAATTTCTCATCAATGAATTTCAGCCATCTGCACGAAAATTACAACCAATTCTGATGCTAATTTATTATAATTCAACTCGTGTTCTCTAAAAGGCAAATACAGTGTGCTGCTGGGAAGTATATGAACCTCCTGAGAGCTTTGTTTTCTATTGTTTCATCATTATTTCTTTATTGAAGCAGATCCAGTATTTCTTATATACGAAATAACACAACTAATCGTCATAATATCTGTCAAAATAATTTAAACAATGTTTTTACCATATCATGCAGCCCTAACAAAGAAAAAGGAAAATAAATCTCTTGCGATTTAATTTATACTGTAAAAATCTATTTTATCTGGAGAACAAGATCTGTAGGCTGGGTCCTCTGCAGCACTGCTCTACTTCATTATAATGTTATAATGCTTTTCACATTTTACTTTTATCAAAAAAGATTCTGTGATTTACTTTTTACAATATTTTGATAATTACCCGCAGAATGGTTGACCTGTGTAGGTTCATTATGGTAAGACTAAACTGAGTGCTGCCCAGTTTCTCCCCCAAACATCTCATGTCATTGATTCATTTAACCAACAACTGTGTGCCACCTGACTGTATTTACCTGCAGCTCAGGGTTCACCAACGTTTGCTCCTACAAAAGTTAATTTAGTCTTTCCACAAAACAATTGACTTCCTCAAACAGGTATATGGAACTAAACATACTTGTTATTTTATATGAAAAATACTGGTTCTGATCAAATAAAGAAATTATGGTAAACCAGAGAAAACTCTGTACATTGAAGTGTCAACAGGCTCTTATTCATCCACATGAACACTATTCCTGTCAGGCACTATCACTAATGATCTATTAGTAACAAAACGGAACAGATTTGGCCGAATTGTATCTGAAAACATTTGGACTCACCTAAGTCATAAACAGGAAACTAATATATTTGGTGTCACGTATATTTGGAGATATTTTGTATAATTCTGGCATCACAAACGGAGTGCGGCTGTGTGGTAACCATTAGAGGCAGCTTCATTAACAACCAGTGCATCATGGCTCAATCCACTATCTTTTTATTAAATACAACATATTGGTGACATGTAGGAGATACACAGCATGGACAGCATTCACTTGGCCCCGCCTTCCTCGAACTTGGGCTCTGGAAATAAAAACACAAAGAGAACCATTAGTGACAGTTGTTGATGAGTAATTCCCTGAGATGAGACATACTGCATACAGTATATATATATATATCAGAGCAATATGTAGCAACTATCTAACTGCAGCTTCATCAAAAATGCAGTGAAGCTCAGTAATGAAAGCTTCCTGAAGCCATTTCAAACAGAATGAGGAAATCATCTGGCTTTGTGTCACTATATATAGAATCAGACAAAGCCAAATCAGTGCATCTCTCCGGTGGCAAAGGAATAAATATTTATGGGGGAGGGCTGTTTAAATGTGCTAAAGCAAAGAATCACTTCAAAAGCACACGTGAGCACTAGGGCTCCGCAAAACAGCCTAAAAAAAAAAAAAAAAAAACCCAAAAGAAACCCATCCAATTTATGATTTTAATTGTTTGTTTTCCCTTAAAAACTAACTACAGGAAAAGACAGGATATCTAAGATGTTGTGAAACGCCACTGGATCTGTATCGTCTCATCACTTCTTCTCTTATAGGACTCTATGGGAAAATAAATAAATCACCCAGCTCTAATAAATGACTTTTCTATGACATGGACAATTTATAATACTGGCTATCTCGTTTAAGACATCTACATCTCTCAGCTTAAACTAAAGCCATTAAGTAATACACCGTCTGGCTCACTTTGTCCTCCATACATCAGTAAGCCATGGTCAATAATAAAACCGTGGCTCATTAGATTAAAATGACCTTTTCACAAAGTGATATTATGAACATTACAACACTATATCTGAATATAACTTCACTAATTACTTCACTTGTTTGTTGTTTTCCTAAGCAATAATTGGGAAAACAACCCCTGTCTAAGTTAAGATGTCATTTAGATTGATTTCAACTCGTTTCTTCAACTGATAAAGATTAGGGACGCAATCTAAACCCCCCAAAAGAGCCCAAACTAACCTGAGAATTTAACTTCAGGGAACTTCTCAAGGTCGCCTCCTCCGTATAGCCTCTGCAGCTTGCTGACCTCCTCGCTCAGGTTATTGTCGAAAGCGGGCCCCGCATCCACGATGCCTCCTGAAGCCCTGGGAGAGCCAAGGCATCAAAAGATGACAAAATGTTCAAGGGATGACAGCGGTGAGGGAGGGAGGGAGGGGGGGAGAGATGCCATTTGAATACAGCGCAAAGAAGCAGCGAGGACTGAAATTAAACAGCATGCCAAAGAAACCAAGAAGGCAGCTTTTATCAGTTTCTGGCTATAAAGTTAATATTTGACCAGGGACTGAACTCTGAGCTGGAAGCCTGCTTTGGTTTAAATGTAAGCATACCTGGACAAAGCAAAGGGGGGGGGTTCATGTGTGTGTATGACAGGAGTTGTGTGTATGACAGGAGTTGTGTGTATGGCAGGAGTTGTGTGTATGACAGGAGTTGTGTGTATGACAGGAGTTGTGTGTATGGCAGGAGTTGTGTGTATGGCAGGAGTTGGGTATGGCAGGAGTTGTGTGTATGACAGGAGTTGTGTGTATGACAGGAGTTGTGTGTATGGCAGGAGTTGTGTGCGATCAACTGACTTGCTCTTGGCTCTGTAGTCGCGGATCTTGTCCAGGAACAGTTTCTGGATGGGGTCGAGGTCCTTGGTCTTGTTGAAGAGGACGGCGGAGAGGCCGATGTTCCTGCGCAGGGTCAGGCTCACCGCGGAGCGCAGCAGGGAGGAGAGCTGGGAGAGCCGGTGCAGAGCCATCTGGAGGAGCGGACAGCCTCGGGGTTTGTTATCAGGACCAGAAGATGCGACTGTGTCTCTGGATTACATTAGCAGGAAATGCGTAGCCTCGAATTACATTAGGAGGAAGTATCCGCTAATATAAAACCTAAACGGGGGTCTGGAAACTAAATCCTCTAGACAACGTTAAAAGCTCTTAAACACATTGAACCGTGGAGGGCTCGGGTCACCTGCTAACCTCACAACAGCGCAGACAAGGACGCGCAGCTGGGGCTAACACCTTCAGTTAGCTGTTAGCATCCGCGGAGCTCATTTAGCGACACAAGCTTTATCAGCTGCGACATTACAGCCACTGCGGACAGGAGGACAGGAGGACAGGAGGACAGCACCTTCGACCTAACGTCAGCAGAGTCCCGACGGTGTTACAGTCGGTTTCAGTCTGGCTTTCTGCTGCTAAGTTACTTGCGACTGTTATTGCTAACAAGCTAAGCTAACCCCATCTGACGCCGCTAACGGAGCGGTCTGCTGACTCACGCTGACTCACGCTCATTAAAGAGGTGAACGGTAGTGTATCGGTGCGCTCAGCAGTGGCAGACCGCGTAAAGTTGAACGTTTAGTAGCATTTCTGTGACAACTCGGTACTCACCTTGGGTTTGACACTCAACGCAGAGGATCCAAATGTGGAGGACCGCGGTGGATTGTGGGATTGTGGTGGGGACAGGGAGGCGTTCGCGGACGTCAAAAGGGCGCCTCCTTTGCGCAGCGCTGCGCATATTTCGGTTGACCTCACATAACATCAAATATCCCAGAGCAGCGTATGACAGTGAATGTCTCTTCAATAAAATATATATATATATATATATATATATATATATGTGTTATTATCAGCTGCTGTTTGGTTATTATTGCTTTGTATTTGTTGTGACTGTTTACTCCACTGTAAATGTAGTTGCTACTTTTATTGTTTAGTTCAGTTTATGATTTGTCATGATACATATTAATGTTACTAGGGTTAAAAAAGTGGCTTTACAAATGTAGCTAAACATTTACACAAGTTAGTAATGTCCTATACACCACTGTTATTTTGACTTTGGTAGTAAAATAAATCTCCAGGATGTATTTAAAATAATGTAGGTGAATGTGGATGTGATCCAAAAATTGGGTTTGGTTTCATTTTAATGCAAAATAATTAAACCTTTAGCAGGATGACCTGATGTGTGAGTAACACACTGAATCCCCGTCAGCTCCACTGACCTCTGAGACTGACCTCTGACCTCCTTACATGATGCCCCTTCAGTCTACCAGTTTCTGCCTGTCTGACCACACAGACACAAATCATTAGAATAAAATGGTGATGTGCATTAAACCTCATAATAAAAAAACACAGACACACCATCTGTATGTACATTCAAAACTTTATTATGGAATACAGTGTAGAAAGCGTTTTCCAAGTCAATGCAAATGGCCTGCACAATATTACACAGTGGAAAACAAAACCAATATATAATCCACAGAAAAACGATAGAAAGAAAATCCTGCTTCCTCTTCTACTCTACTGCCCTCTGTTGGGCTTCTAATGAGCACCCTCTGAAAACCAAACACCCACCCAGCTGCAGCCTCCGTATGTACATTTCACTCCCCATTCCCACGTAGATCTTACTCGCCGTTAGATTTAATAACAGAGTGAGAGGTCACGCTGCGTTTCTTTCCGTGTGCGCCTATCATATCTCTGTGCAGACTACAGTGCTCTGCCTCTGAGGAGTCAAGTGTGCGTTGATGGCAGAGAGGTGAGCAGCATGCCTGAGGGGGGAGTGAAGGCGAAAGAGGGAGGGAGGGAAGGAAGGAAGGAAGGAAGGGAGGTGCTGCGGGGGGGGGAGGGAGGGAGTGAAAATCCATTATATATACAGACTGCCTGCCTGGCTGGCTATCCATCTGGAACTGCAAGTCATTTCCTCTCTACCTTGCCCTCCTTCCTCCTCCTCCTCCTCTCAGCACTCCTGTTCTATCAGCAGACAGCAAAATGATTACAAAATCAAAAAAAAAAAAAAAAAAAAAAGTAGACGGCGTCACCTTACAACTGGACGAAACACCAGACTGAAAATGACAAAACACATACAGGCAGAGATAATCCTAACCCATCCCCCATACTGGATTCCTCCTAGTTTTCCCTTCCCGCTCTCTGTAACCTTCACGCCCACAACATGCCCTTTTCGACAAACACAACGACAATGATCAAACATAATAAAAATTTAAAAAAGAAGCAAAAATGAAAGGGGGTGATTTTCAACACAATATATTTCAGTTGATGAGAATAATGTACAAACAGAGATGAATCCCCCCTCCTGGAGCTTCAGGAACGTCGCATAAAAATAAAAATGACAAGAAATGAGGAACACACTTAAATTCTAAAATCACAGATCTCTTTTAAATGTGTATTTTACATGATATCAAAGCAGAGCCCGTTCATCTAGACTTATATATATTTTTCATTGTTTGAAGTCACGTGATCACGAGAAGATACTAAATGTACAATCTTGCTAGAATGACAATCTATACGTGAGAAAGGATCTCGAGAGAGAGCAGCGATAAGATCTTGGTTTTTTTTTTTCTTCCAAATCCGGTTGTCATTGTTGTCATGCACTACATAGGAACAGCTAAGACTTCAGCATTACGTCAGTAACATTACACGCAATTTAAAAAAAGGGACTTTACATCAGTTGACCTGGTTGGTTTTTTTTCTCCATTTTCACTCTTTTTTGAAAAACAAAACTGGAAACAAAAAGAGAAAAACTCCAAAGTAAAAACAGCTCGTCATTCGGAATACATAATTACTACCATCGTCGTCAACATATTCATTATCATCAGCGTCTCCAGATATCCTTTAAGAGCCTTGTGTGACTTAGCACAGCCCAGCTGTCGTAAGAATGCGCAAAAGAAAAAGAGGATGGATGGAGGGAGGGATGGGGGTGGAGGAGGGGAGGGAGGGGAGGCTTATACTCCAGTGTAGACTGTAGAGTGAGTGCAGTAGTGGTGCAGTTGGTGGGGAAGCACTGGGCTTCATTTATAAAAAGGTCACGTTGCTTGATTTTCATTCTATAATCATTACAAAGAATATGCTAGAAACAAACGAATACGTCCACATGTCGAGTCATGATTTAAATTGATTTTGATGATACTGCAACTCAATTTCTGTAAATGAAGCCCAGGTCAGCGCGCGCCGGAAATCCTACTGATCAGTGGTCAGATTTGCGTACACAAGTCCACACCTAAAACCATCCCAAGCCAAAAAAAAAAAAACCCCAACTATACACTGGCCCTGAATCAGTGTGGAGAGAGCACGCTTCTTTCCCCCAGAGTGGGTTTGTTTCGATGCACTGGGCGGGGCCTTTTTGACATACATCAGCAGGCCCAGGGGTGGAGCGACGTATAGAAAAACGCCTTCCTTTAATTAAAAGGCGCCTTGCTCCGATAAAGTTAACAAACTTGGTGCAAACCGGCTCGGCCACGGTGTCCGCCCAGGCAGCAGCGAAAGGAAACCCCGGCTACAGTCGCTCCGTACGCTCGTAACCGACTATTTCGGTCACGCAAATGACCTAAGCCGCACTGCCTTTTTTTGGACTAGTCGGTGGGGTGGGGGTGGGGGGTGGGGGGAGAGGGAGGGGGAGGTGCTTAATGTGTGGGAGGAAATGTTTGTGTGTGTGTATATGTGTATGTGGACGTGTGACATTCTCCTCAGTTCTGCATCTGCTCAAAGAACTTGTAGGTTGGGTTCTCGTAGCCGTTCTGCTGCATCTTAGACAGGTGGCGCTCCTCGGGGGTGACGGCAGCGTCCACCTGGAGGAGAGCCAGAGAGAGGGGGGGAGAGGAGGCGGGGTTACACACGTTAAAATGTAAAGACAATTTACATTTTAAGATCTTTTTAATGCTTCCTAGAAGTGAGTAAGTGACAAAAATAAAGAAACAAGGCTGCCACAACTACCGTATTTTTTTAATTAAACGACTAATGAAAGTTCTGAAATGACAAATGAGGATAATTAGAAATGGGAAAGCAGGAAATTAATTGGAAACAAGCATTAATTTAATTATATTTATTGAGCAGATATATTTAGTGTACAGTAGCATGCACATTTATACCCTGATATACATCTACGCATACGCCACTGTAGTGATAAACAGCTTGCACTGACACGTGCATCCACGTGCAAAGCATCACCCCCGCGCCCCCCCCCCCACACACACACACACCAGACTGACTGCTGTACAGAACAGCTTGTACACACACACATAAACACACAGGTCAGCTGTTTCTCACCTCGATGACTCCGTGGTGGATGGAGGTGTACTGCTTCTTCCTCAGCATCACCAAGGTGATGACGATCACGGTTGCTATGACGACGCCTCCGACCATAAGGCCGATGATGGCGCCCTTGTTGGAGCCCACGTCCTCCGCGAAGAAGACCTGCGTGAGGCGAGGGATGGACAGTGGTCGGGTCACGTGGCAACAGCCAATCACAGCCAGTTAAGGTTTGAATACAGAGAGTGTAGAAATGCTGTCGGTTACGCTAGGTAATGCTCCTGTTAAAAGTTTCTTCGGGGGGAGTTTCTAGGAACAGAGGGTGTTGAACGTTGTACAGATTGTAAAGCTTGACTTGATGTACTTGAAGTACACTAAGGACTGTTCTTGTTCCAGTGAGCTCTAATAGCTTCTACCTTCAGTCCAGCGTGTTGAGGAAGAGAACAGTGCTGACATTAAGAGTTACAGCCCATTTACTTCTGATTCTTTCCAGTTTTTCTTTACCCAAATCATTTTGCTGTGCATGCTGCATGTAATTTTGTGTCATTTTTAAAATAGCATCATTACAGAGTCAAATTTGTCTTGAAAATTACAGCTGTACTGCTGGGGAACAAAGGCAAAACATATGAAAACACAGGCATTACAATGACTGTAAGGTGACTCCCCTTTGAGAGATAATTTCCTGGTGGACATGGTAATTTCTTCCTGTGGCTGTCAGGTGATTTACAGAAAGCAGAGCGCAACATGACTCAGCTCCTACACAATGCTAAGATTTTGCAAAAACCTACTGAATGCTTCAGCTGCTTTGTCACAGATTATGAAACTCTGTGGGACTCAATTTCCATGCAGAACAAAAATAAATAGACGCAAATGGAGTCTTCTGAAGGGAGGAAAACAACTGCTGATATCTAACGGTGCTGACACCAGCGGGGATAATGGGACAGAAACCAAGTCAGCTGGCACAAACTTCAAAACATCACTAAACTGCAGATAAACGAACAGGAACCCATCTTGACATCTCTGCACTGCTGCCCCTTCTTGAGTCAAACACTGCAGAGAGTGGGGACTTCATTTCAGGCTGGTGAGCCTCCTCCAGAATAATCCTGCAGAAAGCTGATTGGGGTTACGGTGAATATCAAATTAAAGAGTTGAGTTAAGGAGACTGCCTGACACTCTGACTGCTCATTGTGAGTGCAAGGAATGTGATATGTAATAAAATGTAGGGATTAAGAGATTAAAGCCTTTAGGTGAGAGGAATAAGGTACGCCGATTTGGATTTGACTGAGGATGGATTGAGGTTTTTGTGCTGGTATTACAATACTGGATGAGATTAATGAATGAATGAATGAATGAATGCAGAACCGGGTAAGAGCCTTATGATGCTGAGTACAATGACCTGTGGCTGACCAGGGAAATACTAACAGCACAAAACTTAACTCTGATCGGAGGACAGTGGATTTTAGAGGATAGCAGACAAGTGTGACGCACGCATTATCTCGGTTGTCACCATGGACACCTGTCTCCATGGTGACAACCTTGGGACTTTACCAGGAGGACAAAGTGGAGACATGGACCTGAATGTGTGTGTGTGTGTGTGTGTGTGTGTGTGTGTGCTTGTGGAAAAGAAAGGGCAGAGTGCAAGCTTGCCTGTGTCAGTAAATGCATCTTTGAGTCTGTGTCAGTTTCTCTGTGTTTATTAACTAGCCTGCATATATAAATAAATCTGTGAATTTCAAACGAGCCTGCATATCCCTGCTTGTGTCAAGCGAGCTGCTCTCTGTGTTTGTTTACCAGTTTCTGGTGGTGAACTTCATATTCAGTGCTCTGTCTGTCCTCCGTCTCCATCCTCAGCTCAGGAATAGGTTCCATCTTCATTCCAGTCACTGGCAAGGGAAAGAAAAGTACTATCTATTATGGATGGTGACACTCAGCCGCTTTCGCTTTCTCAAACACACACACACAGTTGAATCAAACTCATTCGCTCAAGCAGGACGGACAGCCGAGTGTTGGCTGTAACGGCAGTATGAATTGAATATAGCGCATATAGCGCAGCATATGCAGCACAGTACGCATAGACCCTGCAGCTGCGTCGCAAATCTAACAACCACAGCTGGCGCCTTAATGGAGGTCAAGTGTGTGTGTGCTGTGTGCAAATCATGGCTGAGTGAAGGAGAGAATAGTCTCTACTTCAAAACAGTCGTGTGATGTATTTTAAGAGGAGAACATAACAAATGATTGTTAACCCAGGAAATAACAGGATTCACTGGAAAACAAGCACAAATGTTGGTACCACTTTCTAAATGGACACCCTTTATTTAGGCTTTAGAAGTTATTGAATCTTTCTCCTTAGTATAAGCCATTTTCTAAAGTTAGCAGCAATTACAAAAATTACTGATAGTACGTTTTTAAAAGCTGCCAACTCAAATGTTCTTATTTATGTCTGATCTAGAAAGCATCACTGAATGATTTATTAATAAAGTCATTAGTTACAACCTATAAATCCTTTATAAAGAGTTACTTACTATAAAGTTGTACATGTATCTCTTGTCAGGACTGTAGAGATCAATTTGAGTGTACTCAGATCAGACTATTAATGACTATTATGGCCACCAAGCCTAAGCTACCGGGCCTCCAATTCTGCCACCAGAGGGTGCATTCCCTCATCAAGAACCATTTCACATACAAATAAGCAAACATTGATAAGGGGCTCGGAAGATAATGTCTATAAACACAAGTAGTAGTAGCCTAGCAACAGTGTAATATCAGCAGGCCATAAACCCTATCAATCTGATTTTCTAAATACATATGAATACTTATTCAAATATTGGGATTGCTTTATGAACAGTAGCACCAACCTGGCCGTGTGGGAATGCCTCTGTCGAGATTGGGGCGAGAGTCCACTGGCTCAACTAGAGAGAGAGAGAGAGAGAGAGAGAGAGAGAGAGAGAGAGAGAGAGAGAGAGAGAGAGAGAGAGAGAGAAATTCAATTTACTTTTTAATTTTTTCTTGAATATTTTCAAGGCAAGTCCAAAAGAGCCACTCATTAAGTACCTTGGTTCTCAGTGTTGGGCTGGTTGAAGCTCTCAGGGTGGATGAAGCCGACTCCCCCCAGGCCCAGAGTTTCCTCCCGGGGCAACAGGTCGGTCTGGCCGTCTCCCAGCTCCTGGTCGGGCATCAGGGCATCATTGCCGTAGCTCATCCTCACATCCGTCTGCAGGTTGGCCAGCTGCTGGGCCATCTCCGCCTGCTCCCTCTGCAGGAGCTCTGGATGGAGGACGCAAGGAAGGAAGGAGAGAGGTCAGAGAGACGAAGGAAGGACAGAGGAGAAACAAAAGTTGAGAGGGAGGGGAAGGAAGTTTCACTTCACTTATCCAACTATTACTCAACTTCTTGTTTTCAGTTAGTTTCAACACAAAATACTGGAGAATATATTACAGAAAGAATCCTTTCTTTCGTAATTAAAATGATAAAAGAGGACAATTGAATCTTTAAAGCTGCTGATGTGTTTGTGTTTTCTGCTTAAAGAAAGTACCCCACACAAATGTCAGAAGGGACAGCCGGCCTCCAAGAAATGTTGTTTAGCTCAATTTTTTAATAGACCTGGCTCCTAGCAATGACTGAATGGTGCTTCTTCTTCTGTGTATGTTTGTTCCTGTGTGTGTTTTGCCGGGCGGCACAGACTGTGACAGTCTCCGAGACAGAGACACAGATGGCTGCGTGACGCACACAACTCCAATAAACCCAAAAAACCCACAGAAACCTAGCAAATGCAGGGGTGGGAGGGGCGAAGGGAGGAGGGAGGGAGGGGATTTATCTTCCCGGCAAACAGTTTCATTTGACTCCGAACAGAAGAATTAGGCCAAATGGCTCCAATGCCCTTATCAACAAAAAAAATTGCATTTTTCTGGGGCCTGGAATTTAGAGCATTCAATCTCTGTTACATGTAGCACAATCAGGACACTTTGTCTTCCCCCATCTCTCTCTCATGCCAGGTTCAGCACGAAAGACTTCAAAAAAGTCATATTTACAAGACGTGGCTCATGTCATTGTGAAGGATTTTTATTTTCTTATCTCTCTACCTTGTAACTGCTCTCTCAGCTAAAAACTATTTTCCATCTCTCTCATTGGCACTTCTATGCTTATTTTATGGTTTCCTGGATATTGTAAAGCCTTTTTACTTTTAGTCTGTTTTTGGGCAGTTTTGTGGCACTGTAGTTTCTCCAATAAGCTTTGTACGGCATGGTGAGGCGAGAAAGATTGTACTATGCAATTACACCTGTAGATGCCATTAAATCCTACACAGTGGTCCTTTAAGAGTCAAAATGGAAGAAAAAAAAACTCACCAACTTGGTCCTGGATGTCGTCAGCCACACCGGGCACCTTGTAGAGAAGTCCCAGGGACTGGTTCATACGCTCCTCAATGACACGCAGGTGGGTCAGTACCTTTGACACACAAACATAAATGCATCAACCTCTTCAGAAAAACAAAAAAAAACACGGTGTTATATGTGTGAATAAGTTGTGTGTCTGATGCTACCTGAGGTCTGATCTGCGCAGCCTTCTTGGGATCCACCATGCGGACGTGTTCGAAGTGTTTAAGGGTGTGCTGCCTGTCCTTCTGCTCTGCACGCACGTACTTCTTCAACAGGCTGAAGACATGGCGAGGCTGCAAAACACAGACGGAGAGAATAAGACAAGACAGATGGTTAAGAGCGGAGGAAGGACGGGGTGATATCTTCTTACACAGTCTGGATCGGAAAACAAAACTTTGTACTTGCAACCAAACTGAAGCAAAAATTTGTAAAAGGAGATGTTGATCCAGATCCACAAATCAGTCAGTAACATCATTTTCTTCTGCCTATTACAATATGAGGTTAATTCATATATTGATTCTATTTATCAAACCTCACACATTCATCAAAGGCTTCAGAACGAGGGTCTATTTCAACTTTTAGGGATTAGATTTTTCTTTTTTATGGTAATGCAATCCATTTCTCTGAATTTACAAAAGGCTCCATTTGTGAACTGACAGAACAGAACACAAGCAGGCGAGTTATTCATGTTAAGCAGCAGGTCGGATGAAGGGGAAAATATCTCACTTCAAATAAAAACAGAACAAGAAATATCCTAACGAATAGGCGAGAATCTTTAAAGCAACAACTAGAAGGTGAGAAATGGCAGAACAACAGTAAGCTCTGCAAGAAAATAACGTTTTAAAAGTGCTCTAAATCACAGGGGAATGGACTTTGATAATGATTCAATCATTTGCCCCAGTTACAGGAAGAACGGTGGCTGCTGAACGATGTGTATAGAGCGTACCCTGGGTGGGTCCTGCTGCAGTGCGGTCAGGTAGCTCTCCAGAGCCAGGCGGCGGCGGTCGTTGAGCAGAGCCTCCACCCGGGCCATGTGGGTCTCCACCAGCTGCTGCCGTTCGCTGGCCGCTTCCTGCTCCAGCGCCTCCACCTTCTCCTGGAAACGCTGCACGCACACACAGATTGCGACGAGCGGATGAATGAAAGAACATCAAAGACGTTGGGTGGTTCTGTAAATGTCCGCTTTGACTCACCTGGATGACGGCCTTCTTGTCAGCGCGGGGAAGATTCTTAGCCTCCCTTTCAGCCTCCTCCCACTCTCTCATCACCTGTGTACAAGAAAAGGAAGGGAAAAACATCAATTATTGCCGATAGCTACTACAAGATAAGCTACTTTAAGCGCTCCACGTGCTCTATCGCAGGTTGATTTTACACTTGAGTGAAACGTCTCATTGCTCTTTATGCATGGATCTGATTTTTTCACGGCTGTCGACGTGAAAGAAAATCTGACATTTTACGTGGCTATGAAAAGATAACATCTAGGCCGCAGAGGGTAAATGCCAGATCCTTCCTGTCAGTGTAAATAATCAGATTGAGAATGACGACAGTGGGGAGTTTCTGCCTTTTTTTTTTTTTTTTTTTTAAATCAAAGAGGGGGTGTTATATGCTTGGTCAAAGTGCAAACAGATTCAAATCTAACAGTTTCTGTTCCCCTTTTGGTCAGTTACATCTTCCTCAGAGGGATGATGGTTCATCCTACCTCAGTTCCACCCTCTCTGACTCACTGGTCTTGCATTCAGCTCAGGCCTAAACCAAAGACATGACCTAACGGTATCTGTAAGGGTGAAGTGAACCGCGTGAAATCGGACAATGCTGCGCCTGTAGCTACCCACGCCAAACAAACAGAGCGATCCAGAGCCGTGCACAAACTCTGCCGAAAAAGAAAAACAAGGCTTTTAGAGCCACACAAGGTTGTCCGTGCTCTTGTCTGGAGCTTTGCAAACTGTGACATTGCTGCCGACCATCTGGCTCTCTTCCGGAGAGCGGGCCGCTTGATTAAAGAATACAATTAAAGTCGAATTGGCTCGGTCGACTCACCCGGGAGGGATTAACAAACGCACCTATTCGTTTCACTTGACACACCTTTTTCTCCCTCCATTTTCCATTCATAGAAATATCTTTGTCCTCTCCCTGCTACAAAGAAAATCCTCCACTCCGTTCGCCCTGCTTAGTTACAATTACTCACGTGTATGCACTGACTGCTGATCAGTTTAAAAAAAAGAAAAGAGAAAATCCTCCCTCCTCATTTACTCCCTTTTTGTCTTTCCTTTCTTCTTTTGCCCTCTCTGTCAGTACCTGTGACATCCTCTCGCGGTGCTTGGCCTCCAGGCTCTCTTTGGCCTTCTGGAAGTGGGCGTGTTCGTTTTCATCAGCAGGTGTCTCCAGGTAGTGGTCCACGGCGTCAGGGGAGCTGGGCATGGCTGTGGGTACTGCATGAAATGGAGGTAGAGAGAAGAAAAAAGAGGAGGCAGGGAGGTGAAAAGATGTCTCAGTGCAGCTTTTTTTTATTTGGCTGATCTGGGACTAGCTGTGATGCCTCAGCACACACAAAAGACAAAAACACAGAGTCCAAAATGGGTTAATAGGGTTGGTGGGAGATCAGGAGAGAAAGAAAACAAGATAGTAGCTGTAGCTGGAAGCCAGCCCCCCTCCAAAAGCAAACAAGTGAATGCCTCAGATGACCCTTAGTCCTTTGTAGAAGAAAGACAAAACCCTTCTCTCATTTATATAACTTGATTCAACGCAGCGCTCATGCCAACACACTGACGCTGGAATATATCCTGTGGGCTCGAACGCACACACTGACTTACCAGCAAGAAATGGACCACATGTTGGGCAAAACCTGGATTTAATCAGCAGAAAGTTGATTATTTTCCACATTAGTGCTATCAACAGAAGTTGGAGGTGTGTGTGTGTGTGTGTGCGAGCATGAAGGTCACCGTCATGTGAAATGGGTTACGACTGATGAGAGCGCATGACTGCACAAGACATAATAACAACGTAGAAGTGTTATTCACTTTGACCTGAGGCGAGAGTTTGGTTAGCCTCTGTTCCCCAAAATCATTTAAAAAGGATAAGTTCAACCCAGTTACAAAAAAATTTAATTTTCCTCGCTAATCTCGAGCAGGACCACGCAGATAGTTCTGGTTTTCTTCACACAGGTTTGAGATTTCTGCCTCGAACCCAACACAATGGAGGTGAGTGGAATGTAGCTTGTGGTGCGTCAAAGCACTGAAAATACATTCAGTTCAATTCAAAACAACTTGTGTCCTTGTTACTCTGGGTAAAACACAAAACACACTGAACAGCTCTCACAGGGACTATTTCTTTGGTGGAAAGTAGTTCCAATTAAACGTATGAGGACATTTCTTGAGGAAAGAGATACCCATGTAAATAAAATCTATCTGCATAGTTAGACACCACAAGAGGTAACGGAGAGTGTTTCTTTTTTGTACTTTGGGTGAACCGACCCTTTACTGTACTGCAGTGTATTTAAAGTAGTATTCCATTAAGTCATAAGTTTTCCAATTTGCTGTTATCATTGCTGTTGAGCATTCGCTGTTGTACTGTTTCTAGGCTGTATATTCTTCAATAATTGAAGCACTCACATTTTTTTCCTAAGAATTTCTGTTTACTTCGAAATTTCCAACCAAGTGCACTACATTACTTTTTATTTGAGTGCCCTGAAAGTGGATTCAAAAGCCCACAATGGAATGAAAATAAATTACTGTGAGAAATTCCACAATGCAACTCTTTGCTTTTGATAGATGTGTGAATTACAGTTAAGAGACGCTACAGCTCTCAGTGATGGTGCAAAGTGATGGTAGCTCATAAAACATAATTGCCTGAAATATCAATTACTCGGATTATAAAGTAAACTACTGAGTGTTAATTGTGTAGGGAACCGTGAAAGACTGAACAAACATGAATTCCCTTGTTGTTGACCAAAAATATAAAGTGCATCACTTCCCAAGTGCTGCAGAACTTTCCCCAAGTACAACCTTTTAGGGCAGTGAAAGCTATCATTAACTGGACAAAGAATTTATCAATATTTTTCATCCAAAGATGCAAAAGTGACATTTGCTGTAAGAAAATTACGTTGATTACTGCAATTATCATGTGCTTAATGTTTACAAAAAGCTGCCATTTGATAAAATACAAGTTGCACTGAGAGCGATTGTGAATCATTGTTAATTGACCACAAATGCAAGTACTCGGTGTGTGTGTGTGTGTGTGTGTATGTGCATGTTTGTGTGGAGAAAAAAAAAAAACACTGCCGCACTTTCTCACCTCCACTATGCTCAGCAGATCAGAAATCCCATACCAAAACACAGCCATGCACATGCACTCTCACACCTAAACACACACGCAGTGTATAAAATTAGATCAAAATATAGGGAGATGGAGATAGCATGACTCCATTTTGCTGCAGGGGAGATTATGCACTTCGTGACACACACACACACACACACACACACACACACACACACACACACACACACACACACACACACACACACACACACACACACACACACACACACACACACACACACACACACACACACACACACACACACACACACACACACACACACACACCGGGCAAGGTCACTGAACCTTACACAACGCTGAAATCAGCTGATCACTTAAACTGCCTTCCTCTCCTCATCTATAGCATACAACCTCCCTTCTGCACACACATACACACACACACAAACATTTACACACACACCCTCCTGGCAATGAAAAAGAAATCCAGGGGAAAAACAGGTTGGCAATCCGAGACTGACTTATTATTTGAAATCCAAGTCCACTTCGTGACTGGCTGATCACGTCTAGCTCAACAGGAAGTGTCGAGAAATAGTCTTTCTTTCAAAAGAAAATCTAATGACCAAACAAACTAACAAGGTGGGGACATAATCGAACAAAACCCTCATTTCCAGCGCTGCCACTGATAATCAATCATCACAATGTGATGCAGGAGGCAGGTGTGCTCTGAGAGTGTGTAATGATGTATTGATGAGTGTTTCCATACCGCTACCTTGGAGACGTTTCACATTTTCTAAATTGCGGCAGGGTAATTCAACATCCGGTTTAAGTGAATGTAATGAATTAACTAGAACTGATTTTCTCGAGGGAGGAATAATGTAAGCAAGCCTGCGACACGTCAGGGATAAAGCGCGGGCGAGCCGAGGATTATTGCTAAATATTTCCTGCCTGGATGGTTTTATAGCTCATATTCATGGTAAAGTAATATATAAGATGATGCCCATGAAATGACTGTAATCATAGGAATTACAGTAGTTATCACATGTAGGCTACTCTATAGGTCTACAACACTGTAACCATGGCGACGTACAATCTGAAATGGAAAATCTGGAGAATGTCAGCCTCTAAAGCAAATTGTCCATGAAAATGAGTCCTCCGTGTGCAACAGTTATTATTGCCGCATACTGTACAGATTTTGTTTCACAACTTTATTTGAAAAGAAATCACTATATTCCACTTTAATCTGGTTTTCAGAAACACCAAACCTGGGAGTCTTTTCACCGAGGATTCAGTAAAGCTTTTTCCTCGCTATGGTTTGATCAAGTGCTGTCAACAGCTTTCAAAAAACACATCTGGGTCCAGTGTGGCTCAAAGTGAAATGTAATTCACAAATATATCTTGCTTACACAATAGAAGGATTCCACCTACAGACTGACAAAGTGGGTGTGAAAGTAAAGGGAACAGTGAGACAATCAGGTTGGTGGCTTTAGGAATCCACAAGGGATTATGGGGAAAGGTAAGGTCTGTTTTTAGTGCAAACACATTTATTTGATAGACGGACACACACAGAGACAGTGAGTGAAAAAGCAAAGGTTAGCCAGGAATGGAGCCGACAGACAGGTCTAGAAGAGAAGCACACCAAGCAGCTGTTAATATCTTGCGGGTAGTGGTCAGCTGGGGTAGACGGCCGGTAAAAGTGAGGGTTAGAGACAAACCAGAGATGGAAACGAGTGGCGTTCAGGTCAGCGGGTTGCTGCCTACAGGACTTACTGACGCTGCTGCAGACAGACAGGCAGTACTCCTCTGACTCAAAGTTATTCCTGTTGCCTCCGCAGCCGCCGTAGATAAACTGAGCACAGCGGCCCTCCTGGTGGTCAAAGTACCAGCGGGGCAGCATGGCCCGGCATGGACCAGTCTCTGCGTTGGCCCAGCACACATCTTGGAGAACACACACACACTTCATCGTCATTCGTGAAGCAGCCACAAAAGTATCTTGCACACACCGTGTCAAGTGTGTTTTTGTTGTTTCAAAATAAAATACTTGATTTTACTTAAACAGGGAATGTAAAGAAAGGCAGGTTTAAGCATTATTAATGCTACTTGGAATTTAATTTAGGAGCAATTTAATACTAAAATGAAGAAACAAAGCTGGGAACAGCAATTCTGATTCTAATGGAACGTAGCTAATGAAAGCTCTGAAATGACAAATGAGCACAATGAGAAAAATGACAGCAGGAAATTAATTGATGAAGAACATGAAGTTCAATTGTGTTCAGCAAAGCATTAAAAATGGAGAGAAAAACACGTTTTGTATGTTGTACTACTGAGCTTGTTCCACATTAATCTCAATGCAAAGAAACTTGTTACCTGATTACTGTATGTTCGTTAGAAGCCTTGAATTTAGATAATTTTCCAGGCTTTTCAAGGACCTCCAGATAATGGAAGCAAAAATATGATGGACAGGACTATTTATAAGACGAGAACCAAAACTAGACACACACGCCGATGTCTGAAAATGTTCCTCACCCTTGACAACCTCTTCCACAGACTCGGTGGTGGTGGTGGTGGTGGTGGTTGTCATGGCAACGTTGGTGGTGGGCTCGTCGGCGTCATCGCCGAGCGTGTCAATGATGTCGTCGTCTCCCTCCTCCTCCTCTTCCTCCTCCTCCTCGTCTTCCTCCACCACCTCCTCGTCCTCCTCTCCGTCTCCGTCCTGGTCATTGTCCAGTGCGTCCGCTTCCTCCTCCTCTTCCTCGTCTTCCTCGTCGGCCACCTCCTCCTCCTCTTCCGCGTCCGCGTCCGCGTCCTCCTCTACCACAGATGGCCTGGTTTCCTCTTGCTGCTCCACTGGCTCCGGATCCCGCACCATACTGGGTGAGAGGGAGGGGTAGGAAAGAGGGAGGGAGGGGAGTGAAGAGACATATGGAGAGAACCAGAGCAATTGGGGGAAGGAAAGGTGACAGAGAAGGAGGATGAATGAGAAGGAGGGAAGGACAGGGATTATAAATTATAACCAACCTGCAGTTTGCTTCCAAGGAGAGAAATTTTATCCTCATGCCAGTGTTAAAAATGAAAGTGGCAGTATCGATGATCATTTCAGGGATGATGTATTACTCTGCTGCTGCCTTGCCCTGTGTGTGTGTGTGTGTTTGTTAGTGTGTACCTGTTGTCAGAGTAGTCAGTCTCCGCTCCACCCCACCAGACATCCGAATCATCAGCATCCTGCTCGGCGCTGTCGGCGTCGCGCTCTGCCTCCGCGGGACAGCACACAAACTCCACTCCGCGGAAACGGTCGATGCCGCATGGCAACAGCATCCCGTAGTCGTGGAGGTTCATGGTGCGGTCGCCACAGGACTGCAGAGACACAGAACAGATCAGTGGCTGTTCCTTCTAGTCATTACACAGGATTAAATTTAAATTTTAAATTTAAAGTTAAATGTTGGACTTCTCAGATGGTTTTAAGACCATTATGAATTCAATTTAAGAACTATTTCACATCCATACTGGCAAAAAGGTATATAGAATATGAAGGAAAATTGGAGTCCAAGAATTACAGTACTTGCAAAGTAAATGTATTCTAACATTCAGTTGCCTTTATACCCAAAGACACTGAAGCATGAACTTGCACTTACCTAAAGTAAAATTAATAGAAACCATTTTAACTTCTAGAAGTAGCTATTTTTTTATGAGAGAACATATACACCCACACAGCGACACTGAGTGTTCTGATCAATTCTGACCAGACTGCATTGGTGGTTATTGGTTCTATGTTGGTTTCTTTTTGTAAAAAAACATGAACTTCATAACCCAGACCTATTAAAAAGTCTTATTGAAGAAATTTTAAGGCCTAAATTCAGGTTATTGGATTTTAGCCAAACTGATCCCCATATGTGGTCCAAATCAGATACAGGTTTTTGCAGTGTTACCTTAGTGTGAACAGTCCTATCAGAATTCATGTGACTTTTTTACGCCACTCTAGACTGACATTCGCCATGCGGCTCACACTGGAACCTGATATGTGCAACATTTAAAAAGTAATGTGAACAGGCCAAAAAAAAAAAAAAAAACCATAGCAATAAACCAGAATTCGCTAAGCCTTGCAGTGTGAACGTAGCATCCGTGTGTGTACTCACCTCCTTGGCAACAGTGTGCCAGTGCAGGTGGCTCTCACACTGGTCCATGCGCTCTTGGTGCAGGAACTTGCACTTGTCAGGAACGAGCAGGGCGTCACTCACAAACTCTCCTACTGCAGCGAAAACAATATCCATATTTATAATTCATACACAATGGGCAGCTTCAGTCAAGCCTTCTGACTGACTGAAGACACGTTTCAACAGACGCCAAAAACTCTTAGTTGCTATGGTAACTCTTGTAGTAACCAGAGCTATAGAGATAGTGATCTTTTCTTTGTTTCTCCTGCTATACTCAAAATGAACACTGCTTTCTAGAGATGCTTTCACACAGGCACACTGAAAAACAGTCAGTAAACAGCATATATGGGACTCACCCAGGCAGCGGTAGGGCACCACAATGTGCAGGTGACTGCGACACTGCTTGCGGCCCTTCTTGCACCAGTTCTGGATGCTGACTGGCTGGTTGGCCTCCACAACATTGGTAATCTGGAGCTCTGGGTACACCTACACACACAGTGTTATATATCATAATGGAGTCATAACACAATAAAGCTGAAAGTTTAGAATAGGTGCTCCTCTTCACATTAACATATGTTTCATATACATCACTTATAGTTCCAGTGAAACTCTTTTTAGCACCAGCTCAACAGTGGGAAAACCAAATGCAGAGCTCCTACACACACTTTATATCCCGATATTTTTGACACATGTTTACTCCTACACTGTCCAGTCTTTTGTGATTTGCAGCTCTTCCTCTTGTTTGAACTCTTCCAGTGGTGTCTTTTAAAATAGCATATATCTTCTGCTGTACTTGTACTACTGATAGCATATAGCTCAGTTTCTATTTCAGGGGCTGTTAATCAGCACTTTATCAGACTTGTAATGAACTCTGACCTCCGATTCTGAGGTCACCTCTGGTCTGCCTGACCTAATCTTTCTTAAACTCTTGGCTACATAGTTCCAGCCATCTGGTTAAGCTCTTACTCATTTACTTTGAAGATAATCAATTCTTTCTTTCTTTTCCTGCATTTGTTAACATATTCTGCTCCCGTACTTTGGGAAATGTATTTATTTCCGAGATATTCCAATCTGTACATTACTGCAGTGTTCCCTGATGTCGTTTGTGCTTGGCAGACTTTGCTCTGTTTACCTCTATGTTCCTCTCAGCCATGCATGACATCTGCCTCTGCACAATATTCTGAGTCGACGTGTCATCCCTCTCCAAATACCTCTCCCCTCATTCTTTTTCATGACACCTCCTCTTCGGTTTTTCTCTCTCAATGCAGATAATAATTCCGTAACCTTCTGGGTTCCTTGTCACGCTCATATTTGCCCAAATCGTCTCTTCCATTCAGCTTTGAGTAGGGAAAATCCTCAAGTTCTCCATATCTCTATTTTTCTTTTTGATATTTTGAAGTCCTAAATGTTAAAATGTTTAAAGCCGGGATCTAAGACTGACTGTTTGTTATCGCTGGATGTATTATCAGTGGTAACAATGGAAATATGAGCTTATCTTTCTTTGATTCTGCCTCACATGCTTTTTTCAGAGAAATCTCATTATGCATCACCTCCTCTTATCAGGCAGGCTTTTCTTACACAGTGCATTTATCCAGTGAAAGCCTGTGAAATGTGGTCGCAGGAGAAAAATCCTAATTTCAGACACCACCACAGTCAATTTATGAATGTCAGGCGTCAGGGGTGTGTTCAAAGCCCCGGTTTTCATTGGCCGAACAACAACAAAGAGGTTCACTGTGCTGTATTTCTGTTTTTGGTTTGGTTAGCTTCATGCTGCCTAATTAAAACCCATCCAGAGCTTTTAAAGTAAAGTCACATGGACTTAAGCAGCTTGTTTACTGAGCGGAGTTTTGGCATCATGTCATCTTGCCAAATTGGGGATTTTGGTGAGTGAAAACAAATCTGCTTGCAAGCTCTGTTACCCACTCACTCTTCTGTGGTCTTATATTCTCTCAAACTTGTGAGCACAAGCACCTCAGTCTCCCCTCTAATTTACTAAAATTACTACTAAAACTTTACTAAAATACCTGGTTTTGTGTAGTTGGTTGCAGATTGCCAAAAGGAAAGAAACCTCTTTTTGGGTGCCATTTTAAATCATTCTCATTTGCCCAAACACACAAAAATAAAATTGTAAATTAAAGAAAATAATCTAATCTTGCTTGTTGTGAAAACTCCCCTAAAGTGTTCCCAATAAAGTAGCTGCACCGCTACCTGCTCAATCATTGTAATTTGCTCTGAGAGTGTCAGCTTAATGGCTGAAATGTAAATTCTCCGACCCAAAAATGCAACTAAAATGTCACAGCCATAAAAATTTATCATCTGGGCTTATTGCTCGCTCAAAACAAAATAAACACTGGGTAATTACAGTTTAAGTATTCCATATATCATAGCATACATGGCCAAATGAGAGCCATTCTGAAAGGAATGACAGGTAGCGAAAATGATGATTACAAATGGTCTGAGAAGAAATGACCTCCCTAACCTAACTAATCTTTGCTGCTACCAGACACTGAAATTTTACCTTCACACTGTTATTATTTTTTCAATGAGCTCCCGACACTCTATATCTATATCCCACACCTTTTTCTACACCCCTTTAGGCTGATTCACTACAATACAATAAAGATTCATATCAGCTTTAAAGGGTGGATTAATATGATCATGTAATAGCAGACGTAATTAATTCCACTGGGGAAATAAACAGTTATAACAGCTACTGGGTCCCACACTTTACCTCCTGGCAGTACTGCAGGATGCCCTCCTTGGTGGCGATGCAGCTCTTGGTGCCCGAGGGGTCCGGCTCCCACTTGCCGCTCTGCACGTTGATGTGCATGTTGAGTTTACCGCAAAACATGGCCACCTGGGGCTCAGCCAAGAGACCCATCGAAACATCTGTAGGCACCTGGGGGTGAGGAGAGACGGACGAGAGAGAGAGTGGGAGAGAGATTTAATGAGATATACCACTCGTGTTAAACTCCTTGAGCACTTGCGCTGAAAAATGCAAGACGGATGCAATTAAATTTTATTACTTAGATAGAGGGGAGCCGGGAGAGGCGAGGAGATTAGCGTGTGAGATGAAAAGTAAGATGAGGTGAGCTAGTTTGAGATGAGAGCAGTGGGAGAGAGAGGATGGAAGGAGGGAGAGGAAAATCAAAGATTAGGTGTTAGCGAAAGGAGGGTAGGAACTAATTTTCCTCTCCCAGTTTCAACAACATTTTGGGTTTGATTTTTGTTCCTATAATCAAACTCTTAACCATGGCAGTGCTTGTGTCATACTCAATGCCTCTGTTCATATTTCCAATTGGGACTTGTCAAATGGGAAAAATCCTGCTGAAAAATGCTGGAAAAACAAGTGCAAAAATCACAAAAATCGATAGCTTTAGAGGAATAAATTGCCTCAAACAACAGGCCTGGAGCAATCCAATACACCCTCTGTTGTCTATGATGTTCACGCACAAGTACACACACCCACTCAACTGCCCTGTGCAATACCATTTATGGGAATAGTGTACATCGCTGTATCCGTGCAGGCTTTTTTTTTTTTTTTAGCGTTTTTTCCAGGACAGTATAGTGTTTATATAACCTCTGTTGATTCATTTTTGGTTCATTTCGCTCTGTTAGTGCAGCACAGAGTGAGCACAAGAGCAGGTTGGCTGGAGGCAAGGAGAGTGTGTGTCTGTGTGTAAGCAAACGTGTGTGTGAAAGAGAAAGTCCGCCTTTGGCATGAATGTATTAATTTTTTGTGTTAATTTACACTCCTGTGTGTTGGTTTTGAGCCTCTGTGTGTGTGTGTGTGTGTGTGTGTGTGTGTGTGTGTTATTGCTGTCTGCCTGCATAAGGAGGTTTTGTGCTGAAGTTCCCTTAGGAGAGGAGGTGCAGACAAACTACTGAATGTCTGCATTGTACTGGCAAATGAGCTAGAACAAAATGGGAGGGAATAGGGGGGAAAAAAGAGAAGGAGACAGAGGGAGGGAGGAGAGGGACTGTTGCCATTGTGTGCTCCCTAATCTTGTTAATGGTTTTGAAGGCCCTGGCAGGCAAACAAATGTTGTTTTGTGAGATGGATAGCATATTTTTTCCTCCAGACTTGATTCTCTCCAAGCAGCCAGGGGGCATGAAGTGCTCTTCCAATATGAGAATAGCTGGTGGGGGCCATCAATTTGGATACATCAGAAGGTGAAAACTCAAATCTTTGAATCGATTTAGTCATCTATCTGGTGTATCGGCGGGAAAGATGAACTTTCATTATATTCCATTTATACACTAACTGTATATACACACTTGGCAGAAGGAGACGACGGCGCTTTGTGGAGCTGTTACTTCCTTCTGCTTGGAGACGCCAGGCTAAGCAGAGCAGGAAGCTTGTCAGGTTCACATAGATGAGGTGAATGCAGTAAAAATGAACACCTGTATGGAGGTAATGCAGTTGTCTTATTGCTCTGCATTATATTTTAGAGCTCTCGTAATACTTTGTCCAGCCCCCTGAGGTAAAGGGTAGGGGTTGGTGGAGGTTGTGATGGCTGCAAAATAATTACACCCGAGAATCAGATTTCTGTACTGCAGTATGTTTATACAGTAAGTCACAGTAACAAAAAGTATTTTTCTGTCAAGGGCAAACTGAGCAAAGCCAGTTATGTGATTGGTTGGCTGCTCGTTCAGACCAAAGCCAATCACATGACCGACTCTGTTATTTCTCTTTATTGACAAAGGCTGTATTGAAACATACTGGGACATTGAAACCCAATTGAGAAATAACAGACTTTTGAAAAAGGGACATTAGGAAATAAAGCTACAAAATGACCTCAAATGAATACATGCTATTGTGAAAAGAAGCAGGATGAAATATTCTGTAATGCTGAGCTGAGAGTCTTAAAATGTCAGTTTATTTCACAATGCCATGGTCATATAACATATTTTGTCTGTATTTATTAATATGGTTGTTTGAAATGTCTTATTTAGTCATTATTGAATTATTATTGATTACATTACAATGTTGCAATACAGCTGCTGATTTCTATTGTCAGTTAACATTTCCTTCTTTCTACAGCCTTTAAGAAGGTCACCAGAAAATAATTCCAAAATGGCCTCAGGTTTTGGGGAGTCATAAACTGCAAAATGACATACCTATCAGTCAGTATAGGCCGGGTTTGTTGGTTTATTGGAACTATGTTAGAGTGAACTTTAAGATTAGATCTGTTAATCAGTCCCTCCGGGATTTCGCTGGCTTTTTTGGGGGGGGATTGTTGTGGCCTAAAATGGCTGATTTCACGGCAGCTTTTCTAGAAGAAGAAAACAACAAACTGTGATGCATGTTACATCTTTTAGGCATTATTTTTGTGATTAAACTGCAGGAGAAAGTGAAAAAGGTAAAAAAAAAAAAATTGTAGCAATTTCTTTTGTATAATTGATTAAATGTTGAAGGCAACTTGTTCCAGGGATAATAAAATTGCTGGTAGTTTGATGACGTATGGCTCCAGGGACTGCTATAATTGGTGAAACTCGTGGGAAACAACACTGATTGGTAAAATAAGCAGGAAAGGTGAGTTAGGCATGTATTCTAAAGAACTGATATGATCGATAACACACTTAAAACATTCACTAAAAGCTATGTGATTTAGTCTATGTTAAACTGTCTACTGCAGTCGATTAATTTAAACTCTGAACAAAACTAAGTCACATTTCACTGCAGTTTGGAGCCATGAGGATTGATTTAACATCATTTCTGTTTCTCTATGAATAAAGGAAACAACTGTCAGAAAGGGTCATAATGTGTTCTTGGAGGTTCCAGCATTTACTGCAGTCAAATGAGGGTAAAAACAGACACACACAGATCAGTGAAACCTGATCCCGTGGGTCAAATATGCACCTGCAAAGTTCACATCCCTCACAAGCCGACATGATGAGCCGCAAGCTGTAGTAGCACGGAAATGAGTAAATCCCTCATGCACAGACTTGCGCGCACGCACAGACACACACACACACACACATACACAGTGTAGGTAAAATCCCATCTTGCCCCCAGCCCTCCTCAGCTCCAACACATGGCAACTTAACACTGGTGGCCATCAGTCTTGACACTGAGCCATCTGCAGCACACGGGGTTATTTAGAGGTTTGTCGCTCGATTCCCACACTACCATCTGTGAGCGAGCAGCGCTAAGGGGGACCAGATCAAATCCCATCCTGCTCATTAATAGTAAAACCCAGGGCGAACTGAGAGCAGAAAGTTTTCAAATAATCTTTAAAAAAAAGTCATCTGCATGTGTACTATCTTTTAATTAACTGACTTTTTGGGTGCCCACTTTCATTTTGACCTTATCTGCCCACCCTCTGGCCTCTCCCAGTCGCTTATTGAAAGAGATAAACCCGCTTCCTCTCTGCTTGAGGCATAGGTAGGCAAATTTGTGCCAACTGCTCGCTGACATTCAAATTCTTTGTGTCGTCCTCTTTTGGCTGGCAAATCATATCCTCGCCAATCGCTCTCCCTTCTCCTTCCTTCCTCTCCACTGCTATCTCTCCGCCGCTCTGTCTTCTACTGGAGGAGGAGGAGGAGGAGGAAAAGGAAGATGGGGGGTGGGCCAAGCCTTCCCTGCAAGCTTATAAATCAGAGTCCCAGGATGATGGCGAAGGCGGGGGGGGGGTGAGAGAAAAGAACAATAACCACAATGGCGAGAGACGAAGAGAGATTGGAGAACAGATGAATTGGACAATAAGCCTTCGGGCTCGAGCGGAAGGTCAAGCGCTCTGTAAAACAGAAAGGATGTGGGGATGGAGGGCCAGAGACAGAGAGGAAGGCTGAAAGAAATCGGGGAAGGCTTAACTGAGAAAAGATGGGGAATTCTGGCGTCGGAACGAGGTAGTTCAGAGAAAAATAATGACTGCCTCTTTTATCAGTTAAGTTCAGGGCCCGTTACATCAAGATGAAGGATGGCAAACAGGAAGGCCGCTGATTATACTGTGTACAGAAATAATCACGGCACTTCCTTTCTACACCTCCAGTTGACTGGAGAAATAAGGGATTGCACATCATTTGCATTTTACAAATCCCCGTATAGAAAAGATAATGAGAGTAAGAGTTGAAGGGCTGGTTTTTGTTTTTTTCTCTTCTGGCGGGGCTGGGAATCTACCCTGAGCTAGCAACAGATGGACTGGAAGGAAGGCAGACTGACAAATGGTGAGACACATCAGCAGTAGAGTGTTAGACAAAATGTATATTACAGAAGAAGAGCATCCCTCCTCTCCTTCTTTCTCTCTCTCTCTCTCTCTCCGTCTTTATCCTATCTCAGCTCTGGTTCACGGTTCTGCCAGTCTGCCAGCCGGTCATCCTGCAGGGGAGGGGAGGGAGCAGTAATCTGGGCACTGAGGATTAGGACGGCAGCCCGGTCAGGAGAAATATCCCCCTTTGGTCTCAATCTGGCATGATAGCCATCACCGTAACAACAGGGAATAAGCCAGGGGAAAGGAGGCTGATGCTATATGAGATTGACCCTGAGAAGATAGTTCAATTAAAGTCAGCAGAAACCCCAGTCACATACTGCTTGCCGTGCTAATTCTACCCCCCCCAAACAGAAATATCCATAAAAAATAAAAAAGAAATTCCAGCTTCATGTGACTTCTATTAACCACACTATCTGATGAAATACCTCTATAGTTTGACAAAAATGAGAGCCGCAAAGCAAAAAAGTTGCAGTCGAGGAAGCCACAGTCATAACAAATTCCACAATAAAACAGAAAACAGCCAGGATTGTGTCCAAAATCCACTCAGTCACGTAAAGAAAATACGGACTTAAGCTACTGGGCCTGCTGACCCATATGAGACCACAAAATGAAGTCGCACATTGCCCATGTCCAAGCTATTAAAACTGGGCATGCAATGCTGGTTTATAAACTATAACAAAGCATT